TGGCAGACACTCACCTTGCCATTCCAGCACCTAAAACAAGGCTTGTTACATAGTATGGGCACCATAGCCATTGCTGGGAAGGGTGAAACAGGCAAGCAGTGAGACAGCATGCCTGCAGAGATACACTCAGAGTGGAGAAGCCTGAGAAAGCTAATGTTATCCTTCCTAATATCCCAGCCATTGAGATGATTTGAATGTATGCAATGTAGGAGTAAAGTCCATGGTCACTAACTCCTGAGGAAGGAAAATAGGTCATGCTGTCCTTGGTAGAAAGTACAGGAAGAAATGAGATGGGCAGTACTTGACACCAGCAACCTTTAGGCAGGCTTTCCTACTGCACTACTTCACCATCTACACAGGCTCCCCAAGATGGCACATTTTGGTGTCACACCACATGGCATGAGAACCAGAGCCAGAGTTTAACAGAAATCAGTCAGCTTTTTCTACAGCTGGAAAAAATTAGAAACATCATAGTTAAAGGTTTAGAAAGAAATGTCTAGAACAGGAAGGAGACACTCAAAATTGGTCAGCACAGATCCAAGAGAAAAATAAGAGCAGAGAATTGTCATCAGAAGAGTGAGGAAAATAAACTGGCGTGGTGGTACATGCCTATAATCCCAACATTCGGGAGGCTGAGGCAGGAGAATCAAGAATTGGAGCCAGCCTGGGTTACACAGTGAAACCCTGTCTCAAAAACAAAAACAAAACAGTAAGGAAAAGCAGACAAACCTGACTGGGAAAAAGAATGTAGTAAGTTGTTTCCCCATGGCCCTATCAGGCTGTCCATGCTAGAACAGTGAGACTGAAAAGGCGCACTGTAGTTAATGAAGGGCCGCGATTCATAGGCTCTATTCTTCACACACAGCTTAGCGTCTCTGTTCCACTCAGTCAAGCACACTGCAGGCCCAGCACTTCAACTCTCCTACAGCTCTGCAGCAAAGGGCTGTGGACAAGGTGATGTGTCCACACAGGCAAGTGCAGGTGAGCGGGGGAACCTATGGCAAAAGCTCCACAGACTATAACCTTCTTCTTCCACCTCTGTATTAATTGTCCAGAGCAGAGGGCTCCAAGTGGGCTGAGCCCAAGAAAAGTTCCCTGAGAAAGTGCTATCATAGAAAATGATGTTTGGAAGTGGTTCTGTTGTTTAGGTCATGTTTTGGCAAAAAACTATGTGAGAGTGTTAAACAAACTTGGAAATACTTTTATAACTTGTTCAGTTTTCAAATGAATTTCTTATTTTGAAGGCTTTGGTTAAAAATTATAACTCTAACACGTTTTGATTAGTTTGCATTGCTTGCCATCGGAGTTCAAGAAAAAACTGCATAATTGGTGAATAGAAATGAAAAATAAGCATTGTGATGAAGTCTGCAATTAAGTCCTGCCACAAGCAGGGCTCTTCCTTTGGTATCATGGAGAGGTAAGGGAGTTTGGAAGCCACCGTTTTTTAGCCAGGTGATAGTGCATCAAAACCTACCATCGAATTAGGCTGAACTTGGAAAGTGACATCTGAGTTATTCAATCACAGTCTTAAAACAACATTTGAAACAATGAACTGTTCATTGTTCTCCTTAAGAACACTGGGGAGGGCTAGGGGTGTAGCTCAGTGATACAGCCCTTGCCTGACATGTGCGAGACCCTGTCGAGTGTGAGCCCTAGTACCACAAACGAAAACCACACTGGATAGCAACTTTATCCTTAATGTGTTTAAACATTTTTAAATTTTACTTCCTGCAAACATTCCATTTTATAATACAATATGGCGGTGCATACAATTTACCACTAAATAAGTTGCACTGTAGTTAATGAGTTATTTAGTGGTAAATTGTTCACTTTGCCATTAGGGTTTAGGTCCAAAATGATTGGTGATTATTTGGTTTAGAAATATAAGGCAAATATTTATGAAGCCTGAGAGCCTAGATACTCAGAATATAAAGCTTTTGTTCCTTTTTTTCCCCCAGCATTGGAGTTTGAATTCAGGGCCTTTTGCTTGTAATTAGTTTTAAGTTGTCCAAATAATGGCACCTGTGGTTGCTCCGTAACAGAGCACTTGCTTGTATTTCCATTAATCATTCCAGTGATGTCTAGAGATATAGCAAAAAACTTAACATAGGGGAAAGGTTCCCTTCCATAAAACCAAAGTCAATTCTGTATTGAACTTTTTTCTTCTAAAAACATTTTAGATGCAGGGATTTTAAATGCCCACAGTAAAAAAAGAAATAGGTGTCAAGAATAAACATGGCAATCTCCTTAATGAACATTGACGCAAAAATCCTCAACAAAATAATGGCAAACCGAATTCAACAACACATCAAAAAGATTATTCACCACGACCAAGTAGGCTTCATCCCAGGGATGCAGGGGTGGTTCAACATACAAAAATCAATAAACGTAATAAACCACATTAACAGAAGCAAAGACAAAAAACCACTTGATCATCTCAGTAGATGCAGAAAAAGCCTTTGATAAGATCCAACACCATTTCATGATAAAAGCTCTAAGAACACTAGGAATACAAGGAAAGTACCTCAACATTATAAAAGCTATATATGACAAACCTACAGCCAGCATTATACTTAATAGAGAAAAACTGAAACCATTCCTCTAAAATCAGGAACCAGACAAGGATGCCCACTATCTCCACTCCTATTCAACATAGTACTGGAATTCCTAGCCAGAGCAATTAGGCAAGAAGGAGGAATAAAAGGAATACAAATAGGCAAAAAACTGTCAAAATATCCCTATTTGCAGACGACATGATCCTATACCTTAAAGACCCAAAAAACTCTACTCAGAAGCTTCTAGACATCATCAATAGCTATAGCAAGGTAGCAGGATATAAAATCAACATAGAAAAATCATTAGCATTTCTATACACTAACAATGAGCAAACGGAAAAAGAATGTATGAAAACAATTCCATTTACAATAGCCTAAAAAAAAATCAAATACCTAGGTGTAAACCTAACAAAAGATGTGAAAGACCTCTACAAGGAAAACTATACACTTCTGAAGAAAGAGATTGAGGAAGACTATAGAAAGTGGAGAGATCTCCCATGCTCATGGATTGGTAGAATCAACATAGTAAAAATGTCGATACTCCCTAAGGTAATCTACATGTTTAATGCAATTCCCATCAAAATTCCAATGACATTCATTAAAGAGATTGAAAAATCTACCGTGAAATTTATATGGAAACACAGGAAGCCACGAATAGCCAAGGCAATACTCAGTCAAAAGAACAATGCAGGAGGTATCACAATACCTGACTTCAAACTATATTACAAAGCAATAGCAATAAAAACAGCATGGTACTGGCACAAAAACAGACATGAAGACCAGTGGAACAGAATAGAGGACCCAGATATGAGGCCACAAAACTATAACCAACTTGTCTTTGACAAAGGAGCTAAAAATATACGATGGAGAAATAGCAGCCTCTTCAACAAAAACTGCTGGGAAAACTGGTTAGCAGTCTGCAAAAAACTGAAACTAGATCCATGTATATCACCCTATACCAAGATTAACTCAAAATGGATCAAGGATCTTAATATCAGACCACAAACTCTAAAGTTGATACAGGAAAGAGTAGGAAATACTCTGGAGTTAGTAGGTATAGGTAAGAACTTTCTCAACGAAACCCCAGCAGCACAGCAACTAAGAGATAGCATAGATAAATGGGACCTCATAAAACTAAAAAGCTTCTGTTCATCAAAAGAAATGGTCTCTAAACTGAAGAGAACACCCACAGAGTGGGAGAAAATATTTGCCAACTATACATCAGACAAAGGACTGATAACCAGAATATATAGGGAACTTAAAAAACTAAATTCTCCCAAAACTAATGAACCAATAAAGAAATGGGCAAGTGAACTAAACAGAACTTTCTCAAAAGAAGAAATTCAAATGGCCAAAAAACACATGAAAAAATGCTCACCATCTCTAGCAATAAAGGAAATGCAAATTAAAACCACGCTAAGATTCCACCTCACCCCTGTTAGAATAGCCATCATCAGCACCACCACAACAACAGGTGTTGGCGAGGATGCGGGGAAAAAGGAACCCTCTTACACTGTTGGTGGGAATGTAAACTAGTACAACCACTCTGGAAAAAAATTTGGAGGCTACTTAAAAAGCTAGACATTGATCTACCATTTGATCCAGCAATACCACTCTTGGGGATATACCCAAAAGACTGTGACACAGGTTACTCCAGAGGCACCTGCACACCCATGTTTATTGCAGCACTATTCACAATAGCCAAGTTATGGAAACAGCCAAGATGCCCCACACTGACGAATGGATTAAGAAAATGTGGTATCTATACACAATGGAATTTTATGCAGCCATGAAGAAGAACGAAATGTTATCATTCGCTGGTAAATGGATGGAATTGGAGAACATCATTCTGAGTGAGGTTAGCCTGGCCCAAAAGACCAAAAATCGTATGTTCTCCCTCATATGTGGACATTAGATCAAGGGCAAACACAACAAGGGGATTGGACTTTGAGCACATGATAAAAGCGAGAGCACACAAGGGAGGGGTGAGGATAGGTAAGACACCTAAAAAACTAGCTAGCATTTGTTGCCCTTAATGCAGAGAAACTAAAGCAGATACCTTAAAAGCAACTGAGGCCAATAGGAAAAGGGGACCAGGAACTAGAGAAAAGGTGAGATCAAAAAGAATTAACCTAGAAGGTAACACACACGCACAGGAAATCAATGTGAGTCAATGCCCTGTATAGCTATCCTTATCTCAACCAGCAAAAACCCTTGTTCCTTCCTATTATTGCTTATACTCTCTCTACAACAAAATTAGAGATAAGGGCAAAATAGTTTCTGCTGGGTATTGAGGGGGTAGGGGGGAGAGGGAGGGGGCGGAGTGGGTGGTAAGGGAGGGGGTGGGAGCAGGGGGGAGAAATGACCCAAGCCTTGTATGCACATATGAATAATAAAAGAAAAAAAAAAGAATAAACATGGCATGGAATGAATGAATGAACAAACATTTAATCGACTCCAGTCAGATCCTGTTGCAACATTCCTCTACCTTGAAGTCCACACATAGGGGGCACTCACTGGAAAGTCCCCCCAGTTTTTTGGGTAGTACTAGGGTTTGAACTCAGGGCCTCAGCTTGCAAGGCAGGTGTTCTATCACTGGAACCATCCCCCAGCCTTAACCCCCCCAATTTTAACTTACAGTAAGTTAAAGCTATAGGAGGGATGTCAGGAGCAAACCCATTTGAGTTCCTCATGATATAGATCACTCTTGTGAACAAGAAGCAAATCTGTTCCTGCTTTGTAAGATGAAGTCATCAGAAATGGTTCTCAAATCTCACTGGAATTAAAGTTGGGTGGTGTCCACTATTAGCCAACCATTTGAATCACCCAGCTTCTCCTCTACAAGGTGAGGTGGGTTGATTCTCTAGCAGCAGAGGTAAGTTCTCTCCAGCTTTCCCAGCCCAAGATTATTTTGAGCCATGCCAAATCTGTAAAGTAGAATTTACATTTAAGAGAGCATGGCTTGTAAATTACTGTACCACATAGAACATTTATAGAATGTTTGGTAACACTAGGTAGAAGGGAGCAGATGCAGGATGAAGTCCTGATATGGCTTTTCATCTCCTGCTGCTGCACCACCATCAGTGGCAATATCAAGCTATGAATCTAAACTTTCTGGGTCACTAATCATACATACTTAGATGAAAGCCCTCTGTAACAACTCATATACGCATGCTGTCACTCAAATTAGCCAGGATTCATGATGTACTATTTCAATTTGGCTAATCCAGAATTATGCTTCCTAGAATCCCCTATTCCCTGCTGGTTCTAAGTCAGGACTGGCTCCTGACTGCAGGTGTGAGATATGGAAGACAAAAATGAAGGGCCATTTTCCTCCAAGGTCATCACTGTTCAATCTGGCAACAGAGAGGGGTGGCTGGCCAGTTCAGTGTGTCCTTCTCCCCCCTTTCAACTCAGCTCTCCAAGCATTGACAGAAGGTGGCCCCAGGCCCACCAAGAGACACCTGGTTGACGACTTACCAGGTGGTCACTACAACAGCAGCAGCATCCTACAAGAGCTCTACACATTCTTGGCCATGCTCCTTGATAGCTTCCCAAGCTTTCATCCCAGACACTGACTGGTGTCTCCTCTTGATTCACACATCTCCCTCTGGGCTGCCTGTTCTCCAGCACTCCCCACAACTGGGTCTGGTCTAATTCCCAGAACAAAATCCAGTACCTGAGAACTCATAGCAACTCCTCTCCTGATCACCAACCAAACCCAACAAGCTCCCACCAGACATTGCTCTTCTATCTACAGGTAACCTTGAGTGAACCAAACTAAGAGTTCACATCAGTCTCGTTCATGTTCCATGGAGTAGTGCATTTAAGGGCGCATAATGTCTTAAGGGCACAAGGCATAAATGCTATCAAAAGACAACTTCCAAGTGTATGTGTGTGGGCATATACTTGTGTACTGGGAGAAAATACAACACGAAAGTTGGTTTTAAAATTTCCTGAGAATGCCCACAGCAATGTGAATTACCTCTACATATCTTTCATTCTTTGCTAAACCACAGGTTGAGACTACCTCCAACGCATGCCATAGGTTTCTGTCAACAGGACTCTGGCTCAACGCAATCTCTTGGGGGAGCACTCAGTGTCACATACAAAGATGCAACAGGTCTCATCGGTGCTAATACTCACATCCTGTGTAGAGTGTCCCTACATCACAAGTGCCTGCGTGTTGATACTGGAAACAGAATCAACACCTCCAATGATTTCACTGGTGGTGAGGTAATATTCACATTTAGACCCACAGGTTGCTCATTCCTTCACTTATGGGCTGCAAAGAAATATTCAAAGGTTAAAAAACCCCACAAAAACACAGGCATGAAGTATTTGTTTTATTGCTTTGTTGCTTAATGCAGAGCCAATGTTTTTGAATAGTAGTAAGATGTCCAAAAGTCAACATTATCAAACATTCAAATAGTAAAATTTGATGTGGAAAGAAGCCCTCAAGCGTTAACTCCTCTAAGCTATGTCTGGTGGAACCACCTGGGACAGAGGCAACTGGACCTATCATCTTTATGAGAACGACTCTCCTCTGACCCAGAAGTAGCAGGGAGTCTCAAAGGCCACCCAGATGTTCTGTCTCCCTTCAAAATGGCCAGGAGATTTTTATAATGGTAAGTATGGTGATCCATCTTTTCACCTCAGGGTTGAGACACCCCACCACCAGGAGAGTCAAAAGAGACTCCTGTGGAAAAGAAGGGGTTAGGATTAGAATGTAAGGACTGGAAATGATTCTGCTGTTTGGGGAGTCACCTGTGCCTACACAGTTCTTCTCTAAGTCTTCATAAGAAAATAACCCTTCCAAGTATATGTGGGAGACTCCTTACACAGTGACCAGCTTGAAGGCAGGGCAACTGTGAGCAGCATTTTGCTTGAAGGCACAGGGTCCTCATCGTCCTGAGGCGGGGGAGTCACTGTGCTAGGACTTCCATTCAGAACACAAATCCTACCTCTGAAAAACTGTCAGCTGCCATACATCTGATTGCAATTTCAGTCTGGTCTTTTTTCAAAGACCCAGAATCATGGGCACCCCTGAAAATTTTGATATGCTTCAATCCTTCTATAAGGAATCAGATTTCCAAGGGGTTGAGACTCAAAGGAACACATGGCTGCAACATATCATACAACAGGCAAAAATAAATATATGTCTCTATGGTATGGACATGAAACTACCACAAAGAAATAAATATTTTAGACTCTACAACTGCAGGTCACACACTAGTGATATCTGACGGAGTCTAAAAACTGGTGATTTTTCTCTCAAAACATTTATCTACTATGACTTTGATCAACTGTACTTAAAAGGATGAGCAAAAACATATGGAAACGCTGTATTTTTTAAAAAGACAAACTTCCTGAAGTATCAAAGGCAGTGATCAGATTTACTTGATAATGGTCAAGATGTCCAATTTAAATATGTTCCTTCAGCCCTTCCCCAGAGTCATCTTAGGTTTCCGTAACAAGAATGGACAAGTGCATCTCGCAGTTGACACTGAAGGTGTGGTCACCTGAACCCTCTCGAAGAGTAACTCACACTTTTACTGAGGAATTATCTTGAGCCTTTTCTGCTTCTGGAATCCCAGTATTATGAATGCTCCTTACACACAGTGCTACTGAAAAAGAAAACAACAAGGAAACAGAAATGTGCATTTATTCAAGTCCATGCCTTCTAAAGCTACTGAGTACAGTAATCAGAATTGGAGAAAGGACCGATTAGGACCTAAAACAACAAAACCCTGGGACATTCATCTTCTGAATTTCAAGTCTGAGCTCAAAAGAATCCACACATTGGCGAGCCAATTTCCTCCCTGAGAAGTTCGCTTCCCACTCTGCTCTGCTCTTTGCCTCCAGCATCCCTCTGGGTTAAGGCCTGGACAGTGGTAGGATGCTGTGCAGTTTCTCTCTGCGCCGTCAGTCACCCGCAGGCAGGAGTGGGTTCAGTCAGGCTCCTGGGCCCTCACTCAGCTGGGCAGGCTGCCTCCGCAGTTCCTCCACCATCTGCAGCAGGGCGGACCGCTCCAGCTCCAAGGCTAGTGCAGCCTGCTTCAGCTTGTTCTCACTGGCCAGGAGCTTCTCTACTGAGGCTTCCAGGCTTTGGATCCTGCCATTTGCTACCTGGAGAAGGAAAAGGAGAAATGAATATGGACCTGCCCTGATGGCACAGGAGGGGCTCTGGTACAGCTGTGTCTTGACAGAGAAAGCCTATGGTTGGTTGTTATCAGTTCTGGCTGAGCAGGAGGACTTTTCCCAGCTTCCTGCAGGCAGATGGAGCCAGGCCCCTACAAACACTGAGATCCTCCAGCATCTTCTTCACTGCTGTGGCCACTCTGGATGCAGGTGTTGAGACGGTAGCATCACCTTGTGGAGGGAACCTCATCTCATATCACCACCACAGGCAGGACAGCGCTGAAATGGCCAAAGAACACTTTGGAGAGAAGGGCAGAGTTCAAGGACCCATTGGCTTCTGCTGTGTTAGGTCATGGAGATTGGGAGCTTATTCTGACTAATGCATGTATTGGCAGGTGTAAAGTGATTTCAGATTGACGTCAAAACCATCAAAATGGTTTCTAGGTGAAGGTTCATGTAGTAATTGTTCTCTAACCTGAAACTCTTCTTTATTTCCCTTAGTGTAACAAGATGTCAACATGCAGGAGACTTGGGCACTCGCCCTGGGGTGCAGACGCTGAGGATGGCAACATTCCATGCACTGTCTCACTGACCGGCTGCCACCACCCTCGGAGATGAGCGGGTCCTCATGCCCACTATACAGGAAGAATGGTGCTCAAAGTTCACATCCTTAGCACCTGGCACATCATCAGTGCTTCTCCTCTCTAGAGAGGAGACAGGTGTTCCAGGTGAGGGCTCAGCTCTAGTGACACTGAAGACTTCCCTGGGAACAAGGCAGAAACTGTTTTCCTTGTGGTCCCTGAGGTCTTTCAGGCCTGTCCCTCAGCTTATGGCTTCTTTCTGCAGTCAGTAAGGTCAGTTCTACCTCATTCTCTAGTTTAGCCTTTACATATCCCCGTTTATTATAGGTGGGAAAAACGGTACATCTATTTTTTTTCTCATTTTCAAAACCAGGAAAACAGTGTTTTGAACAAGACAGACAACCTATGACTCAAAGTGTATCTCCAGCTGTGCTACTCAAAATAAAAGGGGAAAAGGGCTGAGAGCAGTAGTTCACCAGTGTGGGAGGTGGGAGTGGACACACCTGGTATACACCTCTTAAGAAGTACCTTCTAATCCTCAAAATCCTACCCTTCATCCAGGCCTGGGCCAGGCCCTGTCTCTGCATTCTCAAGTCCCACTGCATCATAAGGGATACCATGTGGCTCAGGAAGTAGTGAACTAATGTGTATTGCATTTACCACGCAGCTTTGTAGTGAGCTAATCTGCATGGCTGGTACCACACCAATTTGCATGGTCATTACTATTCTGCACGCATGGCAGGGTTCCTCACTATGGCTGAAGAAAGCCTGTCTTCTCACTCACACGGTCTGACCTCCCACAGCCCCGGCTCAGTGTGGCTTCCAGTGACTTGTAGGTGTCAATTACTATGAAAAACACCTGTGCACTTCTATTTGCGCATCTGGCATGTCTAAGCAACATCTGTGTACTGCTGGACAAACAGGTTAAAAAGAGTTTCACCTCCAGCTTCCAGATAATATTTTCTTATTTTTTGGAGAAAATCTATTTCGCATTTATTCCATGCATTTATTTTAATTGAATAGAAGTGCAAACGGTATGCTAACTTCTAGCACATTAGTTTAAAAAATTATGTAATTTTAGAAATATCTTAGAGATGTTATAAATTCAGATTTTTAGTAACACTTAAATTATTTTAAAAGTTTATTATTTGTAACCTGCTAAATACATTTAGTCAATATATTTGATGGGTGGGAAGAATAGTAGAATGTCAAAAAAAAGTAGTATGAATTACTTACTACATATCATTCTAGCTCACAGGAATAGTTATTTCCAGCATTTTAGTGTATATTATTTCTTTCATATTCTTTTTTCACAGAACATATATAGCTATATATTTGTACTTAAAAAGAGACTATGAAATGTATGTTGTTTGGTGATTTGCTTTTCTTCTTAGTATCCCAAGGATATCATTCAACAGCAGCAAATAAAATAATGCTAACTATGTCCTATATTTTAAGTTATGTCATCATTTGCTAAAGTACTGATGAGCATTTTCTTACCAATTTTGTTTCATCTAACTTACATCTTCTGTATACATCCTGAGGCATGTTGGTCAATGTCACACATGTTCAAAATTTTGTTAAATATTGCTAGAATTTGCTAAAGAGATTACAACTTATTTATGGGCTCACAAGAAAGAGAGTTTCATTTTCCTATGCAGGTGTATCCATTATTTTTAATAGTTGGAAATTTGATTTTTAAATTATAATCATTAATGCACAACAACTGACCATACTAATGGGTCTCACATGACATTTCCATATATGCATATATCATGCTTTGCTCATATCCACCTTCTCAGCTGGTCACCTACCCCAGGAGTCCATCTACTACTTTTGGTAATCATTGTTTTCTTTTTTAAAAAAAAGGTTTATTCTAGCTTCCACATGAGACAAAACAAGTGATACTTGTCTTTCTGCTAGACAACATCTTCTTATGTGTTTCACAGAAAAATAAGCAGCCTTTGGAGTGTCCATCAGCTATATGAATAGAGTCAAGCTAGAAAATAAATCCATTTTAATACTTGGGGAAAACAGATTTCTAATCAGAACTTGAGAGCTGTATTGGACATCTTCCTGGTACAAAAAGAAGCCATGAGTCTCACATGAAATACATATTCTCACAGAGGATCATGGGAAAACTACCTCCAAACACCCACACACTTACGCATCACAATCCTACCCCAACTCTTTGAGGGCTGCGGTATCCTGCTCAGCTTGGAAGCCCCTTGAAGGGCAAGGACCCAGTGACTACAGTGGATCCTTCTAAAGGAATGTAGATTTCTGAGCAGTTTTTCACAACCCTCTGTCCTTAAAAAAAGGTGTGCAGTCTCACAGAAGCAGTGGAAAACTCTCTCTCCTCCTTCACAAAAAACCAAATGTGCCATAGCCTAAAAAAAAATATATATATAAGCACTGCTTGTCTAACAAGTCATGCTTTGAATGCAAATGTGAGCTTAGTTAGAAATGCTCCATCATGTTTATTTCAGGGCCCCCCCCTGGCCTGGAAGTATTTAAATGACCACCTGCACTGGCAGGTCTGATAACACCCTTGGTCTCTCTGAGACTTCCCTTTAGTTTACAGTTGAGATTCTGGGAGAATGTATGCAGGCATGTTTTCAGTTAGGACAACTCAAGCTTAGAGAACAAAAGAAGTTTCAGAATGCGATTAGTAGTTAGGACCAGGAAGGGAGTGCTGTGGTTTTGTTCCTCTACAGCAAATGTCTGCTGGGGTCTACTAGGATAAGAGGAGGAACATGCTTTAGGCAAGGGTTGAGGAACCAGGCTCTTAAGTGCAGACCTTTCTTGCATTATGCCAAATTGTGGTGCAGTGGCAACTTTCTATGGATAGGACAGGGAGCTGAGTCTATAGACAGCCTAGGAGCTCTTATGAACAACTGAAAAACAATTTAAAAATCCCCAAATAATTTGTGAATACATTCTCCCACTTATGACATTAGAAAAGTAGAATGTATGGTTACTTTATGACATTTGACTGACAAAAAAGCTGCACTCTGCAGTGAGGTCTTCTTCCTGTCCCTGTCATACAGATGAGGAACAGGGAGAGCGGGTAACAGTCTGCCTGGTTGCAGGGCAGTATGGGACCAGGACTGCACAGAGCCTCCGTGCTTGCTCAGTCTCTCCCTTCTGTCTGCACAGGCTGTGCTGCCTTTCTTCTGTGTGTCCTCCCCTGCATCTATCCATGTAAGATGAAGTCTCTAGAGAGAACTGTGCCTTTCACTAATCAAAGCTTTGTATCTAGTTTATTCTCATAGGTAGTTTTCTGCAATGCTTACTCTCCTTGTTATCCTCCACCTTGCCCCCACCTCTGGTGGACCCAGCTCCTTTCACTCTAGGCAGTGAAAGCTCCAACAATCCTGTCGTTACTCAAAGCACAATTGCTGGCATTCAGCTAACAGTGCCAGAGCATCTAGGATCAAGTTGACTTGTAGGCCTGTCTCCTAAAAGGGTAAGTGCAGAAAGAGCCTCTCAGAAAGCTCCAGGACTGTTTGACCGTAGCAAGGACAACCCATCTGCTCTGTAATAAAAAGGACCAATTCTCCTGGGATACCTTTGATCGAAACTACAAACAGATCCGGGTGGGAAAGGTCCTCTGGTCATGGGAAAGCCCAGCCTGCTGTTGCCTTTGGTGAGTTAATAAACTACTACACAGTGCGGTGCAGGAAGCTGCTTTACAAATGTGCTGTACCTGCAATTGTTCCAGGAGGTCAAGGTTCTGTTTGCGTAAGCTGCTGTTGGTTTTCTCTAATTTATCCATTCTTTGGTTGTCACTGAGAGGAGAGGAATCAATAAGTTCTTCTTGAAGTACATGGTACTCAACCTCATAAGCTTGTAACTGTTTAGCGATGTCCATCTCAAACACCTATGAAGTGCAGAAAAGTCATTGGCCTCCAAAAATGAGAAAATCTTACTCAGGCTAGGCACCTATGCACACTCACTATCGTGTCAGTGAGCACCCATCACTTCCCCTCCATGCTCACCACTATGCTGTAGTACACAGGAAAAACAAGGAAAGCTCTCAGCATGAGCATGTAATCATTTTTCTTGGGAAGAAAGGCTACAACAAGCATGTAGAAATAAATTCCAAGGTAACAGTAAGTACAGGTTCCTGATGCTCATCTTCCAAAAGTCAAAACCTGTTTTCAAAAAGACCTAGAACAATTTATTTTTTAGTTCTTATTTTCTCTAAAAATTCTACTAGTCTAGATAAAACAACTATGGGTAAAAAAGGAGGAAAAAAAAATAAAAAACCAAAAGAATCGAAGCCCATTTGCAGAGTCACCAAGTCAAAGTTTAATTATAGTTCAGCTGGGTTTTCAGAGTTGCAAGAACAGCTAAGTAATGGAACTGTTTACTAAAAACCCCTCTTTTGCACACAGATGTGCAGAAATGAGCCAAACCTGAATGTCACCCACACAGATGACTGAATACGAAACAATGCCCGAGTTGTCTCCCTTCCCATAATAGCAATAGTGATGACAAAACCACACGTGTGAAACACAACCCCAAAGCACACAAGTGACTCAGGCGATGGCGTCTGTACTTTCTCTTGGTGTGGGGGCTGCAGGGCTGGCTGAGGCAGAGCAAGGAGGGGAATCAGAAGACAGATGCAGTGATCTCTAGTGCCTCCCTTTCCCTTCCTAGTGGCTCTGTGGGTAAGCCTGTGGGCTGGGCCTCTCAGCACAGGAGGCAGATCTAACATGGATCTGGTGGCTGTGACAATGCACCTGAGCTGGGGACCACATAGAACAAGGCTGCTAAAGCAGAACACAGTTCAGCAAATGAAGTCAGCCTTCACCAGAGCAGAAACTGCCTCTCTGCTGCCTTTCCTTATGAAAGATGCCAATATAGTTAACAGCGAGTGCAAAACTAGCTTTCCCTCATGGCAGCTGTGAGCATTCCCACTGGCTCACTAGCATTTCCACCTTGGCATCACTTTCTTTTTATTTTTAAATTTTTTTTATTGTTTTATTATTCATATGTGCATACAACACTTGGGTCATTTCTCCCCCCTGTCCTCACCCCCTCCCTCTCCCCCCCACCCTCTCGATACCCGGCAGAAACTATTTTGCCCTTATCTCTAATTTTGTTGAAGAGAGAGTATAAGCAATAGTAGGAGGGAAAAAGGGTTTTTGCTGGTCGAGATAAGGATAGCTATACAGGGAGTTGACTCACATTAACTTCCTGTGCGTGTGTGTTACCTTCTAGGTTAATTCTTTTTTTCTCTAGTTCCTGGTCCCCTTCTCCTATTGGCCTCAGTTGCTTTTAAGGTATCTGCTTTAGTTTCTCTGAGTTAAGGGCAACAAATGCTATCTTGTTTTTTAGGTGTCTTACCTATCCTCATACTTCTCTTGTGTGCTCTCGCTTTTATCTTGTGATCAAAGTCCAATCACCTTGTTGTGTTTGCCCTTGATCTAATGTCTGCATATGAGGGAGAACATATGATTTCTGGTCTTTTGGGCCAGGCTAACCTCACTCAGAATGATGTTCTCCAATTCCATCCATTTACCAGCGAATGATAACATTTCATTCTTCTTCATGGCTGCATAAAATTCCATTGTGTATAGATACCACATTTTCTTGATCCATTCGTCACTAGTGGGGCATCTTGGCTGTTTCCATAACTTTGACATCACTTTCAAAACCATGCTCACTTGCCCAATAACTTTAGTTTACTTTCTCTTCCTGGGATGAAATTTTTCACCTTGCTGGTTTTCAGTTTAATTCAGTGATTCATACTAAGTACTTTCCAGTCATTCTATGCTTAAAAAATAAAAAAAAATATGGAACAGCGATGGGAGAATAACTTATCATAATGAGCTGACGTTTCTTCTGTCCCTTAACGTGATCATGAGGCCAGTGGGAATTACCATCTCTACTGCAGTCAAAATAACTGACTCAGGCTTTCAGATGGCTTTGAAATTGGGGCACCACTGGCAACTCTGAACGACACTGAACAAGTCACTTAGTTTTCCTGGCCTCCAACATGGGGCCAATCACATCTACCTCCCAGTACTGAGTTGAGAATGAAAGGAGACAACTCACAGAGGTCCCAGTGCACACACAGCCAGCTCCCTTAGCTATGCTATCTGGTTTCACACACCTGTCACAAACCCACATTTCAACCTCATGTCTCAGCAGAACTACAATGGATGCTGTATGATGGAACATCTGAATAGTCGGAACAGAGAAAAACCCACAAACATTAATTAAGCCTGAGACTGCTGCAGCACATGTGTGTAATTATAAATACGTGCTGAGTAAGTGTCATACACACAATTACTTTTCATATACAAAAATTTATTTTTAAATCATTTCCTAACCTGGGAAACCTAGGAAAAAAGCCTCCGGCCTTTTATGCAGATTGATGGTCTGCTAAGGTTAATGGCTCTCAGCTGTAACCACAGGGTACCTCCTTCCAGGCGTCCATCAATCCATAGGAACCATCCTGAATCACAGTCATCAGGGCTTAATTGCATCATTATCTTCTAACCACCAAAACACTTCCAGCCCTTGATTTTGCAGTTCTCCTCCAGTACTGATCCCAACCATGGCACTGTGTGGCTGGTGTGAAAGAGCACTGGTCCCTGAACAATCTGTTCAGCCCTTGGGCCAATGACTTGAACAAGGGACAGAAGAGAGGAGGGGTGGCAGGAGGGGTTCCTGTCCTTGCACACTTAGAGTGCACAAATGACTCACTGCTGCTGCCGTTCTTAGCCATAGAAAAGAACAAGGAGGCCTGAGACTAAAACCTAATCCTGTGGTACACCATCTCAGAGAAACACAATCAATGAATGGAAAAGAGAAATATTAAAAACTGGGCATTGTGGGAAAGCAACACACACTGTAGGGTTTTCATTTCTTGGACATAATTTCTTGGACAAGTGTGCATTTCTCCTGCCACACACACGTGGGTGGCCTCCAGTCTTCTTTCTTCTGGGTCTATCTCAGAGCAATTCCACCTGAGTGCTAATTGCTGGGGTTCTAATGTCTTCACACAACTGTGGCTCTCGTTTCTCCAAGATTTTCAGGAAAGTTCTAGAATTTTGGTGCTGAAGAGAACATTCTCTTTTGCTTGCTTATTTCCCAATGTTTTGCCAAAAAGATAAGTCATTCATTTTTTGGTTATTGAAGTTACATTGTAGGAAGCATGAAAAGTAAAAATTACCAGTACAACTTCCACTATTTTATTATACTTCCTTTTATCTTTATTACTATAAACTAAGCATGTTTTTCTACTTGCAAAACCAAAACCAACATAAAATTTCCTACCCCACTTTTTTCACTTTACATTATACTCTAAGAGATTTTTATGCTGCTGTATGTTCCTCATAGCCATAAATACATATGGTATTCTGCCAACTTGACAGGCCCATTCTTTAGGTTATGGACATCTCTTTATTTTCAAATATTTGTTATTATAAATGACAACTTCTAGGAGAATATCTTTATACATATGGTGTTTCCTGTATTTTGGACTAATTCCTAAGAATACATTCCAGGAATTGGGTTCTCAGTCAAAAGGGCATGAATATTTTGCTGGCTTGGGATACTTATTGACAAATTGCTTCCCAAATGGGAATAATCAAGGTACAATTCATGCCACTAGCACATACCAATGTGGTGGATACAGTATACCCTTGGCATTGTGTAATGGCACTAAAAAAATGTCAGTTTGTTAATCTGGTAGATAAGGCATTGTATGTTATGCATGAACTTAAATTAGGCATGAAGCTAAATACTTTCCCAGCTATGTCTTTGCTAGCTGGCTCTCTGGTGAGTTGTCTGTTTATGTTCTTGGCTCATTTGCTACTGAAAACTCAGTATTTCTCTTAGCAGTCTGTGGACATTATATAATGAAGCCACCCTCTCCGGTGGCTTGTACAACTAGCCACATATTTTTCATTTTCCTAACTCTCAGACCCTGCACCCCAATCTATTGGTCTCAGTGGCACACCATGGTTGCACAGAGGGAGCAGCCTGCCTGGGTGTCAGCAGTAAGGGGGCACCCTGCCTATAGTTAACTTAAAAAACAATAAAAAGCCAGCAAAGAAGATGGTCTGCTTTTTATTATTACCACATGTAAGCAATTCTAAACAATGCTAGTGGTAAAATACTTCTTGCTGCACCCCACCCTCTTGTGTGGGACCAATTGTCCTTTTTCAAAATACTCATTTTGAACAGTGTCAACTGCCCAAGAGTGGAGGACTCCCTGCCAAGGGCAGAAGAGGCAGCCCTCAGCTGCAGTCTCTTCTGAACACAGGAACTTTGCTAAGACTGGTTTCTATGGATCAGTGGGAGCACAACAGGGCACACCTGGTAATAAGGTTGCCTGCAGCAAGCTCTCTCAATCCTGTGAATGTGAATGCCCTGGGGATCTCAGTAGTCTGGGGTGGGGCCCAGGTTTTACATTTCCAGCAAGTTTCCACCTGATCTGCTCACACTGGCCAGGTACACACTGAACAGAAGCTACTGACTCTGCCTTCTGATGCCGCCCTTCCACTCTGTCTTTCTGCCTTAGATTGAACTGAGGCTTCTGAGGCACACAGCACTCACTGACCTCCTTCCCTTCAGTACTCATCATTCCCAGAGTACCCTTCTTTCTGCATCAGAAGATGCTTATTGTTTATATGCACCTGACTGTTCCCCAGTGAGCACAAGGTCACCCTAAGGAACGCTATAGGCTTTCGAGACCTTTTGTCATCCACCCTGGACTGCCAATCTTGGAACAGCCTTTTGAAGCTGCTCCCAGCCTGGCCATCCTGAGCCAGAGTTCCAGAGGCCTGTCCTCAGCCACTCTTTCTCCCATCTGGGAGCCAGGCTGTGTCCCAGATGCTTAAGTTGAGGCCATCTATAGGGAGGGCATTTAATGAAATTTAACAGAGGACCGCCCACACTCCATCCTCCTACCACAGCCTGTCTATACACAGGTCCACATGCTCTGCCATATGCAATGAAGGCATCTATCACCTCCACCCTGGGAACTCTCTAAGGCTGCCAAGGAGGCATGCTGCACCCTAGACCTGCTCTCTGAGTGGTACTCAAGACTCAAGCACCCTCTTAAAGGCCGGTGGCAGCAAGCCTGACAGGGTACTCAGAGGTCAAGTTTCAGACAGATGCAGGAGGGCAGACAGCTGCCTGGAGTTTTACCTGTTTTCTATCAAGACTGTTAGTGAAATGAAAATCTGGGCCCAAAATGTATATTTTGTGTAACCGTATTCCACTCCCAAGATGAACTTATCAGCCAACTGTCCACTCACTCTTGTGCCGCTGGCATGTTGTGATCTTCTAGCTCAGCAAACTGCAGCCTGTAGACCAAGTCATCCTGCTGCCTGTTTTTGTAAATGAAGTTTTATTCACTCGGGCACCCACAGACTCACTCCCACAGGCCCTAAAGTTGCACAGGTGCTGGGCATGCCCAGTCTCCTCCTCATTAAAAATGGGGATCGGTATATCATGTCCCAGAGTTGTTAAGGAGTTAGTAGAATACTACGCCTGAACCAAATCAAGCACACAGATGCACAACTGTTCTCTTCCCATGCTGTGTCCATTTATATACTTCCAACATCAAAAGAGCACCTGATGCAAACTAGGATACGAGGTACTCTCGGTAAGTAGTATGCTTTACAGAAATGGGGAGAAAGTGGGATTTTGTTTTCCCTCTAGAGCTCCATATCCAGGAGGTAAACTGAATGTCTGCTAAGACAGCCTGCTCAGAGCCAGAGGCAAAGTGAGGAGACAGGTTCATGGGATGTAGGCTCGGTTTAAGAAACCAAGGCTCTCTGGGTTTGTCCCAGCAGCTACGAGACATAAGCAAAGGGAACAAAAGCTGTGACAAGAGAATAAGTGAATGTAAATAGGGCAGGAATGAAAGAGTCAAAAGGGCAGAAAATTCAGTATTAAGATACAGGTAAAATACAGAAAAACTCCATAATTGAAGGACCCCTACAGGCGCTTGGTGTTCAACAGCTAGCGAGATGAGTTTAAAACCCCAGTCTCCCCTCGGCAGTGCATACAGGCCAGCTAATTAACCACTTAATGTACTCTCAGGAATGTGTCATGATTGCATGAGGTTATGTGCATATATAGAATCCCCAAAACATGGCTCATAAGTCACAGCTATCCACATGGGGAGGACCATGCCAGGTAAGCAGAAATACAAAGAGATGCACAGCCCATTGGTTAACTAAAGTAAGTGCAGAGTGGGAAAGAACTCCTGTTCCATACTGGCATGTGCAGTATATGCAGAGATCCAAGGTAACCATTGGTGTGAAACCAGACCAGGCCAGACTTGCACCGTTTTCTATGCTTAACACCTACTGTAGAACAGCTAATGAAAATCACAAACACGGCATCTGAATGTAATCTGCTGGAATCACTAGACATCCTGGACTATCAGAGACCCCAGAATAACAATTAATAAATAAATTTTATTTCACTATTTGTTTTTGCCTGATTGCTCTACGTTTTCATCTTATGTGAAACAGGTTCTAGTCACTGCTGACTGTGCAGTGACTCGATAATGAAGTCTCTTCCACAGCATTCTCAGTGTGATCGTTCACCTTGACTATAAATTTGATTGGACTGAGAGACACCTAGATTAATAAAGTATGTAAAGTATGGGTATCTCTGTGAGGGTGTTTCCAGAGGTAACTGGCATGTGGAATAGCAACTGAGGGAGGGAAGAACTGCCCTGAATGTGGGTGGCACCATCCAATAGGCTGGAGCCTAAGTGGAACAAAAGCCAAAGAAAGAAGAAGCCAGTCAGTGTGCAGGTTTCATTCTTCCTGAGCGAGCACATCTACTGTTGTGCCATCATCTGTGGATATCAGGCTCCAGTTCCAGCCTTTTGACAAGAGACTTTCTAGCAAAACTGCAGGCCTTCAGCCTCAGACTGGGGCTATATCACTGGTCCCCCTTGTCCCAAGGTGTTCAGTTTCTTGGACTGAACAGCTACTGAGTTCTCTGGCTCTGCAGCATGCAGCTGGCCATTGTTGGACTATCCAGTCTCCAATGTTGTAAGCCAATCTACTGCAGCCTCTTTTATGTTACACTTCCTCCCTACAAGCAGCTCAGTCCATCATCAGCAGTCATTACTAGAAGGTTCTTCCTCAGGCAGAACTGAAATCTGCTCCCATGCCCCATCTAAACCATTTACCATCTGGTTGAGTTGTAATTCCCAGCTAAATCTTCCTCTAAATTTCCAGCAGTTAGAGAGTAATGGCTCTACTATATATGGAAATGAAGGGTGCTGAAACCACAGATGTGGGAACTGCGTTCTGGAAAACAAAACCAAAACCAAACCACAGAAACACTGCAAAACAGATTCATCGAGTATACAGTCCCTACAACTCTGTTACAGTTATTCTCAGAACATTTCTATTATACCACTCAGCAGAGTATGCGTTTCTGAAGAATAAACTATTAGAGTGAAGCCTTTTAGTTGTGCTGTTGTCACACCTAAACATCCCACCCAGTTCTGGTGTCTTTCTACCTCTGCACCCACAATATATACTCTAGTCATGCCTTTAATTGTTCAGTGCATATTTGTGATGTACCTCCTACTGTTCACAGCACCAAGTGGCAGGAAACAACTCCTACTCAGAGGAAATGTAAGCTTTGACAAAACCAGAACCCCTTAGGCACATGGATGGTCTGGACAGAATCATACCTGGTTGATGGTCTTCTCCATTTGTACCAAGCCTAGGTTGGGTAGTGTGTTTTTTATAAAGTCCACTATGGTTTCTAGGTTTTCATGCTGCAGAATCAAGGGCTTATGGCTTCCCAACAGACTTAAAGCCACTTTAAATATGACCTCTGATCCCTGAAGGAAGATCATATCTAGGAAAACACAAACACATCGTCAAATCACATGAGTTTCTGATGAAATGCCATCGTGCTTCCTTCTCCTTACATTATAGAGCAGGAAGGGGGGAAATCTTACCCAAACTGCAAATTTTAAGTCCTTTTAAAGAGCCTGCTATCCCAGATAGGGTTGTCAAGACTGCAAATAACAAAAATCATAAAGATACTGCTTAGGTTTTGTCACAGGTTCAGATAAATCCTGTTTTCCCACTCTGAAAAGAATCAAATTCAAGCATGATTCTAAGGAAGCATGAGAAAGAGAAAAGGGTATTAATCTATTTCTTCCAGGAATGCTCTGGATTTTTAAAGGAGTTAATAAAACTGCAAGCACTGGAATTTAAGATGAAATAAGTAAAAAAGTGTCCGTTTTGAAATAAGGGGTAGAATTAAAAGTTCTATAAAAATCATAAAAGATCTACACAATTGCAAAAGTACATTATTATATACAAGTATACTGAATTTCAATGTAACAATGGAGTAACAACCTTTTTTTTTCACCGAGGAGTTTAAAGAGTTTAGTTGAGCTTACTTTCTAATTCTGGCCATATTTTCTTACAATGGTTAGGAAATCATAGGAATTCCTATACTGATTTTACACTGTGAGAGGGCAGGGCAAGTGGCCAGGCAATGGACTGAGCAGCAACCCTTTTCTCATGGAATTGGAGCCACTCCAGAAAGAGAATCCAATGTCTTGGGGGTAAAGCACCGCCACAGCAACTAGTTACTGGCTAACTAAACTCAGGCCTAAGTAACCTGTAACTGGAACTATAAAGTACGAAAAAGAAAAAAAACCCCACAACTTTTAAGATGAGACCATAAATATAATTAGGGATAGTATTTCTTTTCTCTCTCTTTTGTTTTTCGGCTGTAGGATAATGGAAAGGATAAAAGAGATTACAAATCAAGGAAAACAAAATCAGGGACGAGGAAGAATGACCCCCATGATGATGCCTCTCCAGGTTTAGCTTGATGACACGTAAAAGCCATTCAGAAACAGAAAAGCAATGGCTGGCTGCAGCTGTGCAGATGGGAGATGAGTGGGAGTGGAATGTGGACAAGGCACGGGAGGGAGAACAGACAGACCAAGTGCCTGCAGGCCAGGTTGGCCCTGGAGATGCTCTCCCATCTTCACAAAGTCCTTTATCATGTGAGTGGAGTTGGTGCTGACCTGCCTGTGCTGGGTTAGGTGTAGCCCTGAGCACTGAGGGTGAGGTCAGCCTGAACCAGCGGATCAGCTTGGGGGCCTCATGACTTCCACAAACTTCGCACCTGCAGCGGCTCAAAGTGGTCCTAGGAATAGGCAAGCCTAAACACCTGCTTCCTTCTTAGTTGTTGGGATAGATGAGATTAAGTCAGAGAACGGACAGTGCCTTTGAGGGCTGAGATTCTTAGGGGAAGTAGAACACAGATTAAGGTGTGTCACAGAAGAGCCCTGTGAAATGTCTAGTTTATAAAATGCACACCTACCCATATAGTTCACCAGGACAGAAAATAAAAAGACGTAGTCTGTCATAGCTGAACATTTATAGCTGAACAAAAATTTACCTTTCAGAATAAAAATCAAGCTGGGCACCAGTAGTTCAGGCATGTAAACCCTAGCTACTTGGGAGGCTGAGACTGAGAGGATCTTGGTTTGAGGCCAGCTCAGGCAAATACTTTGTAAGACCACATCTCCAAAATAACCGGACCAAAATGGAGTGGAAGTATGGCTCAAGCATCTGAGTTGTAAGCATGAAGCCCTGAGTTCAAACCCCAGTTTTACCGAAAAACAAAGACTAAAAGTCAAGACCTTTTAGCAAGGATCTTGGGGAAAGGATTTCATTACCAGACCAATGATGTTCTGTGGCTTGGTCTCTTTAGTCTCTGAGCAATGAGTGCCCTCAGTACTACCATGACTAAGTCAACTAAGATAAATAATTACTGGAGAGCTTTTACGAGCATAATCAGATACTCAATGCCGATTAGTGTTTTCCAGAGGTTAGCAGGTGTTCTGAGTCTTATGCCTTCAGGATCTTGATTTCTTATAACAAATCAACTTAGCATAGTGCTTCCCCCAATTGTAAATGAACACTGTTCTGGACTGAATGTAGAAAATGAAAGGAATCTGGAAGTGTGTGTGTGTGTGTGTGTGTGTGTGTGTGTGTGTGTGTGTGTGTGTGTGTGTGTGTGTGTGTGTGTGTTAGAGTTTATTGGTATGTTAAACAAAATGAAATAAAGTATATACCCTGGTCATTTGTATGTTTCTCGGTCTGTTTGCACTTAATGGAATAAAAAGGAAATGACCTCTCTTAATACTATTCACACACCTTAAAAGCACTGTTCCCACCTGCTGAGGAGTTTCCTGTATTAACTTAAACATTTATTAAGCAACTAATATATGCCAGGCAATGTATCAAGCAGTGGGGATTTAGCTCTGAATGAAGTATAAAGAACAAACTGCAGAGACACCAATAAGTACTTCATCCAACAGGAGAATGCTGTCCTGGCAGACAATCCTATGAAGCTCACCAAAGACTCTGGCTACAAATCCCAGTGGGAACTGCGAGGCGAAAACCGTGAGAAACCACGGTGCAGCGTAAAGGCTGGGGCCAATCTCGTGCTCCTCCAGGTGATTGTAGAGGTCTCTATGGTAATCGTGAAGAAGCCTTGAGAGCTGGTACATCTGGATCTGCAGGGACATATAGACATCCACAGGTGCTGAGAAGCAGGTTTGAGCTACATGTACAAATTTACTCATCCTCCTCCCTTGGTGTGAGGGAATTATTAGCACTGTAAGCATTCTCTTTGGCTTGTGGTAGCCACAGATCTCAGCCACTAATTCATCAAGTGCTTCCTGGGAGCCTGATGTTTGTGAGGCACTGGCTGGAGTAGGCCCAGAACATGAATGCTGAGCCTCCTACCACTTCCTTTTCATTGTTCCCTTGTGTTGCTTGGCTAAGAGAATCTAAAAAACTGTCCTGTGCAAACATTTAAAAAGTCCTCTTATGGAGACATAGTCTTAGAAAAACTCAAGCCCAGGGGAATTAGAAATAAAATGCCTCTTCTCAGAGTGAACGGAGGGTATATCATGATGCCAGCGAGTAAGGTCATTGTCTATGTTCATGTACCAACTCCCTCTGGAGTCCTAAAGTTATTCCATGGTAGGACAAGTATAATTTTCTTTTTAGGTTTATAACATAAAAATAGGTAAATCCTGGGCAAGTTAAAACAAGAAGTAAATTTTTTGTCTTAAGATGAATAAACAGCCTTTTCCAACTTAAGTTGGAGTCCAACATTAAGGGTTGCTTCTTTAGAAAAGGATAGGGATCTGGCAGCTTACCCTGGTTCCTAGCAGCCCCACACCTCACAGAAGTCCCTGAGTCAGCGATTTGAGCAGTCCCACGGCCTGGGCCTAAAGAAGTGAGACCCTAGAGAGGGCCAAATCTGACCGAGATGCTCCAAGTACAGTTCATACAGCCCAAAATGGGAAAAATGAAATAAAAACCATTTTCAGAGGCTTAGACCACAAACCCTTCTTAAGCACCAGCGGTGTCCCTCCTGTATCTAGAAGTCTGAGGCCTAAAAAGACTTGTGTGCTATGCTGAATTATATACAATTCAAACATTCTACTCTGCTGACGGCTGCCCCCACATTAAAGACAATGGGAGAGGCTGACAGTATTGGGGAAGGTACAGTGAGGGTCAAGTCTCCCAGTGAACGAAATGGTTTCCTTTCATGAGGTTCATGTACACATGGTTCAAAGTCACAGGTCAGGCAAAAAGATCTTTAACCACATGATTTGGCACTCTCACTAAAACTCCTCGGCTCTAACAATTCCAAGGCTCTGAAATCATAGAATGCTGCTGGTGATGGACATATAAACACATGCTCTGACACTGTAAGCAATGTGTAAGAACGTTCCTGATGCAGGATTGAGAGTTCCTCCCACCTCTAAAAAGCAGCTGGAACATGCCTGGCATGTGGAACACACTACTGTGTTTGGTTGTCTTTTGACAGGCTCATTCAGTCACTAAACACTGACCACGTGCCTATATCATACCAGACACTGTTCTAGAAACTACAAACACAGCTCCAAGACTAGTGAAATCTTCCTGGCACACAAACCTTATATACTAAGAAAAATCAGATAATAAACAGGCAGATGAATAAGCAAACAAAAAGGGCAAGAAATGTGTCATGCCAAAGAAAGGATACAAAATACTATGAGTACAGTTTGCCTGGGTTGGAAGCTGGGGATACAACCTCACGCTGTCATGAAGAGCTTCTCTCAGAACATGAGTTGAAATGGGCCCGGGAGGATGGAGATGGATGCCAGAGTGAGGAACATTGGCTACTTCTGCTCCCAGAAGTAGCAGAAGGCAGGATGGGAGGCAGGAGTTAAGACTGCCTGACAGTCAATCAAGGGTACAAGGGAAGGAACCCTGGAGTCAGGTACGGCTTTAAATTCCAGCTTTGTCACTGCTAGCTATGTGACCTAGCCCAATTACATAATGATCTGGGGCCTTGCTTTTCCTATCTACAAGTTGACCTAGTTAATAGTGTCATCTTGTGGGTCACCATGTAGCAAGAGCATGGGAGGCACATGGAGCAATGCTTAGCAGTCATCAGCAACGAAGCTATCACAATGGTAATGCTGGTGAAAAGCTGCTTAGCTATACCTGAAGGTGGTTAATACACAGTTAAGCACTTGTTTTTATTAAAGATACAAGGAATGCTTAATACCTGTAAAATAATCATGTCCGGCCGGTACTGTTTCCTCAGTCCCATGTCAAACATCAGAAACGTGAGCATTTTAAATGCCTCTTCCTCACTCATATGAAGAAGCAAAATGCCAGCCACAAAGCTGAGACCTTGGCAGTACCCTACTTCTTGGTCTAGAAGTGAGTAGGCCTTGAGAATGTTGTAAAGTGACAGCTGCCCTGCTCCAAGCTGGGCAGAGAAGTATGGATGTGTTGGAAAGGTTCGCCCTGGGAAAAGAACACAGATAAGCTATAATAATAATAACAATAACAACAAGAAAGCCCACTGAACAAGAAAGGCAATGTGCTTCAGGTTAAAGGCACTGAATCTTCATGAGCTAGGTCATAATATAAATCAGACTCTGACTCTACCTCTGCCCTGTAAACAAGGTCATCAGTGGTTCCTGCAATAACATTTGCAACTAAAAACCAGCAATTAATCAAAGTTGGTTTTTTTTTTGGTAGTTCAGGTGAAAGAAATGAGAATGCCCTTTGGTCCTGTAAATATCTTGGTTCCTATCTAGAACAAAAAAAAAAACTGTTGGTCCTGCGAACACAGCCTCTCTTTTCACGGGGAATGTGACAGCTAGGTTTCTGGATGTTCCACCCTATCCTTGATCATCCAACTGCAGCCAAAAGGGCTGGAGTTACTGTACACCTTTCCTGTCAGCAAACACTTCTCACTACACACTTTTGCACTTTTAAGCCTCAGGCTGAGACAGGCTGAGGGCCAGCAAGGGTTTTCTTTTACGTGAAACAGTTGCCTTTCAGAAAAGGTGAAAATCCTGATTATTTTCACAAAAAGTTGGCATTCAAATAGAAAGTTTTCCTTTTTTCTTTTGGTTCAGGAGGCTTTTGTAAAGGCTGATACCTACCAAATACCCTTGCACTCTCCTGGAATGTGACAGGTGGAATAAAGGGTTTCCAGGGAGCAGAAAACCACTTAGTTAAGAGCAGAGGTGTATAGGTCTAGCTTGGACCCAGGTGGGAACTGTGGGCTTGGCTGAATCAGCAAAGGCAGAAGGGACATCTAGGCCACACTGACTGTTCGTCAAAGTTATTTAGTCTCATCAGAGGGAGGAGGACAGATTCACATGTTCCTCCTTGGCTTCCTGAGAAAGCATCTGATCCACCTGAGTGGGCTTGCCTGGACTTGACTGAAGAGGATGGCATGATTCCTTCTTTCTTGACCTGTATTCACTTCTTGCCTACTCTGCCTCTTCCCCCAACAAATCTTCCCCAAATACTCCATACACATGTCACACCCTGTTGCTAGGAAGCAATCAATAGCTCCTCAGTACTCAAAGAACAAATGTACCACTCTATCAGCCTGGCGCTCCACACACTCACCTCCTACCCTGCCTGCCTCCCTTTGTCCTCTATACCAGAGATTCACCCAGGCCCAGCAGTGGCGGCAGGGGGGAGCAGCTGCTAGGGTCTCTGAGCCTGTCTGGGCTGTGTGATGCGTTGAGTGTGTGTGAGTGAGCAGGTAGGGTCAACCATGCTGTAATACATGCATACAATGGAATCTTACAGCTCTTAGCAGCCACATTAAAATGTAACAGGTCAAATGTATTTTAATATTTTGTTTAACCCTCCCATATACAGTATTATCATTTCGACATATAATCAATATTAAAAACTGATATATTGTGCCTTCTTTTTTCATTAAGTCATTATAATTCATTATATTTTTTATACTGATGGCACACCTCAATTTGGACAAGTCACATTTCGAAGGCTCAATAGCCACTGTGGCTTCCATAGTGGATAGTGTGAGTGTACTGTTTTCCTTGATACTCAAAAACAGGTAGCATCCCTTTTACCCCATTATCCCAGCAGCTCCCAGACAGAGCACCTCCCACCTCTGCATGTCTGCTCAGGCCCTTGGTCCCTCCTTCTCCTCTGGGTCTCCTCTGGGCAGAAGCCATGGTGTCAGGTGGCATGGAGGAGCTCCAGCAAAGGTTCAGTTATTTGCTCTAGTTGTTTTAAATTTAATGTGTCAATGTGGTCCTTCCCACAGATCAGACTCCCTCTTCACAGTAGAGAGTACCCCCGTCCCCAGAATCCAGGGCTCACAGCAGTGGGCCCTGCTGGTGGGGGGAGTGACCATTGCTATTTAATACTCATGACACCCTCAAGAGGCCAACCAGGGAATGACCTATTCTATTCTAGTCTAGCTGTGCAACAGTAGCAGATTTGGGGCAGAGCAGTCTCATGGCATGCTCCCATGCTTAAAAGGGCTTCATAAGGGTTTCATGCTCTGTTGTCACTGCCTTGGAATTCTAATCTTTGAAGAAGTTCTGCATTTCTATTTGCAAAGGGCCCTGAAAATTAGGTACCCTGTCTGTGGAGAGGCAGCCCCCTCGCTGTCTTCCAGAGGCAGCTCCAGTCATCTTACTCACAGCCTCGCTCCTAAGAGCTATGTTATGTGAAAGCAAAGCAAACCTTAGGCCCAGTTCTACCAAACACCCAACCTTTACTATTAGCACGCTGACAGGAAACCACACAGTGCTTCCCACAGGCTCTGTCATCAAGCCTCCAACAACTACCACTTGGGAAAGGTTCTGATGGAGGAGGACAATGACATTCTCACGGCAAAGCCAGTCCAGCCACAGCCCCATCACACCAATGCTTGATGGAGCATGGAGACACAGAGCAACAGGCGCTGGCAGCAGGGCTTGGACACCTTTATAACCAACCACAGATCTTGAACATTATCCATGTCATTAATAAAAACTGTGGTACCCTCCATGGCTTCTGGAGGTGGTATTCTTATGAGGAACAGGCTACTGGGGCTGGAGAGGGAGCTCACGATCACTACATAGAAGGATCTGGACCCATACAATATACTACCCCCAAGGGTACCAAGGAAGACCCTAAGTTAGTCCCATCTATTACCAACAAGAGGATAGTGGGCTGCATCTGTGAAGAGGACAACCTATACTGTTACCTGGTTCTGGCTGCACAAAGGCAAGACTCTGATGCCCAAACTGTGGGACCTATTACAAGCTGGTGCCCCATTAGTTGGCCAACTGATCCCCCTAGCTAACTCACTCAGGATATACTGTAGGGTTTCTTTTTTCCAATAAAGACTAGTCATTGCATTGGCTCTTCCCATTAAAAAAATAAGTGTTCCCTAGACAATAACATTTATAAGGCCCAGTGTCAGTGGTGCAGCCCTCCAGTGCCAACTTAGAAGGCATTAAGCTAGTCCTGGGAAGGAAAAACACATTTCATAGCTGGCCATACCTGTGCTGTTCCTCTGCAGAGACCTAAAGTCTTAAGCAGGGCCTACCTGAGGACACGGTCAGCCCTCGTACCTCACTGCCCACTCAAAGCACAGTAGCTGCAAGCAAAACAGTGGGTGCTGCTTGCTATGCTTATTCAAAGTTTGGGGAAGACTCTGGACTGGGTCTCTGCTTCCTAAGACAGGCTGCAGAACGCTGTCCAACCTGCAGGAGCAGCACTCTGGCTCTGGAAGACCCCACATAGGAAGTAATACAGTAAGCCCACCTTATCCACAGATTTATACACACAGTTTTGACCAAGCATGATCAAAAAAGAATTTTTAAAAAAATCAAAAGAAATTTCCAAAACAAAATATTTAAAATGTCTGCGTGCATTACACAACTCAGTTGATGTGGAAAAACTCTCAGTCCCACGTTGTTATTAGTTGTGTATAACAGAACCTGTGTGATCTGCTGAGTGTTTCCCTGCCCTTAATTTTGTGAAAATTTGCCTCCCAAAAAAGCAAATAATGCCCCAAAAGCAAGATAGCAGTGAATGTGCTTAACTGAAGTGAGAATTTAATAGAGTGAAAATTTGTGATTTATTGAAAGGCAGCATGCCTTTAGTGGGAGTTGGGTGGCATTATGGGTAAAATGAATGGAGACTCCATGGTACAGCACTGAACTCTGCATTCTGAGCATTTGCAGTTTTTCCTCAACAGCAGTCTCTTTGAAATCACACCTGTAAGTACCAAGGGACTACAATGAACCAGATTTCTGCTAACCTAGAGGGATACTGGGTAATGACTGTGGAATCCTTCTCACAATTATACTGCAGTACAAAGTTTGCCTCTTCTAACTGTATTTTACAGTTTTTACCACGAAGTATAGAATTTCTGGCTAAGGCAGACTCTACCTTCCTGAACAAAATGAGAATGAGACTGTCAAATGAAAGGGTGTCAAACATGAGCACAGAGAAACTCCCTTAGGGCTGGAGGCATGGCTCAAGTGGTAGGGTGCCTGCCTAGCATGTGCAAAGCCCTAAGTTCAAACCCCAGTACCAAGAAAGAACGGGAAGGGGGGGGAAGGGAAGAAAGGAGGAAGGGAGGAAGAGAGGAAGGGAGGAAGGGAAGAAGGGAGGAAGGGAGGAAGGGAGGAAAGGAGGGAGGAAGGGAGGGAGGTTCTCCTAACTACATTAAAAGAAAACGGAGCAATTTTGCATCTTGTGAGTCTAAGAGTGAAAACGCATTGGAAAGACTGACAGACAAGCTGCAACTTAGATGCATTTCCAAGTGGCCTAGAACTTAACTTTTACAAAGTGCTCCATCATCTAGGTGTTCTTAAGGAATGCCACTCTTCTATGGGGTGTCTTTCCAGGATCAATCTTTTGCTTGCCCATCACTTGAAGGCTGAAGAGCCCTTTGCAGCAGGAATTGCATCAGATCACCTGGTGTGATCACATGCACATCCTAGGCTGGCCCTCAGCCAGAAATGCTTCATCAGCACTAGGACAGGAGCAGTGGCCTCAGAAATGCACCCATAAGCTCCTCAGGGGGTCGTGCAGGCGGTGCCTGCCCAGAACACTGAGAAACACCATCCAGTCTCAAGAGTGTCCTGCCTTCCTCTCTGCAGAGCCCACTGGACTCCATCTGGGGTGAAAGCCTTGGTCCACTCGATTCTGTCATTGATACTGCTGCCGCTGCCAGTGGCTAGAGGACTCTGGGTGGAAACACAGGGCCACTTGCAAAGCTGTTTAGTCTGGCTGAAGCTCTGAACAGTTGCCTAACAAGTTTCTTTCTTTTGCTCCTTTCCCCAGGGGTCTGAGATTCTTGCATCCCTGGGGAGTATGGTAATGGAAACAGGTAATCCCACCCCAACCCTCTAACTCCTGGCAGTCTTTTCATTTGCAGAAGAATGGTCCTAACAAATGTGGTCCTAACATCTTAAATTGTTCACTTGCTGCTGAGCAGAATTTGAAATGAGGGACGGCAAGTGAAAAATGTCCCTTTGTATCACTCTTCAGACTCTTGCATAATTGAACAGCAGTTATTCAGTGACTGACTTCCCACTAGAAATGTGTGCTTCCTAAAGCACGAGGAACACATCCAGTGCTTGAGAAGTATCTGTGGAAACACCATTAATGGCACAGATGGGAGATTAGGCAGGGGAAGCAGCTGACACTGGAAGGTAGTCCAGGCTGGAGGCCAGGGAGGAAACAGACAAAGTGAGCATGAAGGGAGCTCCAGCTAGGGACTCGGTGTGGTGTCACTGGCAGCCCCAGTGTGGGTGGGGAGAACTGGGCCTCAGCGAGAATGCAGGATGCTTGGTGGTCCATGTTGTCCACCTCGGTTTGAATGTCAAAGAACAGAGAAGAGAAAGGTCACAGTCATTTGACAGCTGCACAGAAAAATGTAGATGGAACCAGGGTAAAGTGTGGAACAGGTTCCTGGATGAAGGCCGAGACAATAATTTGCCAAGTATCATCTGCTAAGCCCTGAGTGCAGCTGCTTTCTTTTGGCTGATTGTGGCCCACTCTGCAGGAACATGGCTCCACCAAAGTAGAGGTAGAGGGAGTCAGGTAGGGAGGGAGTGGGCAGAGCCACAAAAGACAGAAGCAGCAAGACATCCTGAAGAGAGTGGGACATGAAACTCTGTCTGTCAGAGAGTAGCCTGTGACTTGGGCAAAGCACTCCATCTCTTGGGTCTTACTCCTCACTTCATCATTGGAAGTAATGACCTGTGCCCAATTCCAAACAGGGCTGTACAAGGTATACGGGTGACATCTGACCAAGTTTGAGAAACTATTTTACAACTATGAAACAATGAAACACTATTTTTTTTGTTTTTGCTTTTTTGAGGAAAAAAATTTGCAAAAAGCAGTTTAGACTAAAAGTCAATTTTAGAAAGTAAAGCAAAAGGCAAGAAAATGAAAACCTATGAAAAACCAAAACATATCCAACCAACAAGTACCTTGGTTCTTCTGGCCAGCATAAGGACACCATTTTTTTTTTTTTTTTTCCAATTTCTAGTAGCCCTGGGGTTTGAACTCAGGGCCTCACACTTGCTAGGCAGGTGCTCTACCTCTTGAGCCCCTAGCCATTTTGCTTTTAGTTTGTTTTTCATACACAGTCTTATAGTTTTGCTGAGGCTGGCCTTGGACATGATTCTCCTACCTCTGTTCCCAAGTAGCTGGGATTACAAGTATGTACCACCATGCCAGGCCTGAGCTGCCACTTTTTAAGAAAAACAGAAACGACCAATTTGACTTCATTCTGTACCACAAACCTTTACTGGGCCTTGAGTCAGCCATGGTTTTAACATGGTGTAGATAAATAGAAAGTGTGGACTAAACAACTACTGAGGCAAAGCCACAGGCCTTGGTGAGAGGCAGGGAAGTCATGGGAGAGGTCTGGAGGAACTTCTGCATTAGGTATTCCTGGCCCTGGCACACCGGGCAGAGTTGGAGCCCAGCAGGAAGACACCTGGGACTCTACTGACAGGTCTGGGCCAACATTCAGTTTTCCCAGTTCATGTGGGAAAGGAGCTGCCCCTCAGTGGTGCCTGGATAAACCCTAAGGAGACTTGGGAAATAGACTGTTGCAAACAAACATTCTTTCAGGCCGCTGGAGAGTGTCTGGAGGGCATCCAAAAAGGAGGCCAGGTCAGGACTGGGCCAGAGGTGAGGAGGACAGGGGTCAGTGCTGTCAGGGAAGGGGGGGCTGCAGCTGGCCTTTGGCATGCAGAAGAAAGAGGATGGGGATAGGCAGGGACAGAGAGGTCGTGGGTGAGCATGGTCCCACCTGGGAATCAGAGGCTGGTGGCTGCAGAGAGGCTGCCTGTGCTGGGGTTCAGACAAACACAGTTCCCTGGAGAGAACCCCAGCCAGGCAGGGCCCTGGGGCTGATTTGGACTTCCTTCACTCTGCAGAGAAGTGATTATGCTGGAGCGCAAGGCAGAGGGCTGATTGTGCCTGTGTAAGAGCGAGGGCAACACTGAAGGGAAGCCAAGGGGGGAAAAGGTCTGAATCAGGAAGGGAAATCCCGTTCCTCCTCCCATCCTGAGGACAAGTGCAGAGCAGACCTAGAGAAGCTATTTATGCTTACTCCCTTTCAACCTCCTGCCCTAAATTCATCCTCCGCATCACTTCACATCATGGGAACATGTCACTTCCTCTGTTAACACGAGCAAATAGCTCCTGCCAACGCACAGAGCGGCCATCCTCAGTGGTTCCAGTGCCACAGAGGCATCCACAGCCTCTCAGCATCACCCTTCTCTTGGCCAGCACGTCCACAGCAGTCGGGGCCTCCTGGCCTTATCGTGGTGCAGAGGGACAGTAGGTTTAGGTCCTGGCACCTCCCCTCAGATGACTATGTGTCTGTGGTCAACACTTGACTGCTCTGTGCCTCAGTGTCCTTGTTTCTTAGAAAGAATACAGGGTCAAGTTCCCAGGCTGTTTTGAGTCACATAAGACTACAAAGCCTCACATCTGCACCACAAGAGTTACCTCGAGCATGGCAGGCACTGTTGACAACAGAAGCTGAGGGGACATGGCAGAACAGCCCTGGGTCAGCCCATGAAGATGTCATCCTATATGGGAAAGCCCAGGGCATAAAGAGTAATTTGCTGAGCAGCAAATTGGCTGAGTCATTCTAAGCAGGTTACTTAACCCCTGTTTTAACTTTTTCAACATTATCTATGTGAGACAGTATTGTGGGGATTAAGCAAGTAATTAACATTCAGCCTAAGGTAAAATTCTAGCTTTAAATTATAGCAGTAACAACAATAAATGTGGTAATAGCCTGGTGTCTTTCCCCATGCAGTTCCTTCTGGCACAGAGCGGGCCAGAAGGGCTTGGCAGAGGCACCTAACCCAGTGTGGGAGCAAGAGAAGAGGATACAGACTACAGTCAGGGACAGTTTCTCAAAGATGACTCTTAAGGTTAGCCCTGAAGAGACTATGAAAGTGGGAGGCTCACCCCACTGCTGTCTCCTGTCTGATCCAGCTCACCTCCTCCTTCCTTGCTGCAGCCTGGCTTCAGCAACCCATATGGCCAGGCCACTTCAGCAGGGGCCCCGGGGAGGCATCAATGGCAACCAGCAGATGGTGTGGAAGCAGAGCCACACGCTCAGCCAGCAGCGTGCTGAGCTCCTGCTATGGAGCCAGCTCCCCATGGTGGAGGCAGAAACCCATGAGAGACAGGAGGCAAATGCCACCTCAACCCTGCACAGCTGCTGACAGAGTGTCTTTACACATCACAATTACATCCCAGTCAGACCTGGTGTGCACTGTGGCAGCTGCAAATACATCTAACACACCATGCTTTTAAAACTGTTGTCCTATTTCCAAAATAAAATTGCCCCAGGTGCGCACACTTGCATACACACTTGCATACACACACCTTTCTACTATTTTTCTGATGAATTCTGTCTGTGAGCAGTAAGAACCAAGGAGTGCTCCTGTAATTAAACCAAGCCAACATATTTCCCAGGATGTCCCTTCAGCTAACCATAAAAACAGCCTGTCAATATCTGAATTACTGCACTAAACCACAATTATGAGCTAATGAATGCCTCCTCCCATGCTGAGCAGAATAATCCAGCTGCCCAGTGGAAGAGATTTTTATATACTTGAAGAGGACATTTGTGATTACTCTAGGGCTTTTTAAATTAAAAGTCTCAGCAGTAAATTTTGATTGCTAAATCTAAAGGCAGATTGCTAAATAATCTGGACAGTCTCTTCAGATATTCAAATGTGGGAACCTTCCACATGCATCTGCGGTCAATAACTCAGACTCACCGAGGTCGATAAGAATTGCATGCTGCTGGGAGGTAAGCTGTTTTAAGAGTTCTTTGTATGGCACATCCTTTGGCTGCTGTTTACTGGGAAATGGGTGTTTAAGGTGGAACTGCTCAGCTAGAAATTTCCAGATTTCACCACGGTGATGACGTGGCACACCTTTAAGAGAGAGAAAGGTGGAAAATATAGACAGACTTAATGCACAGAATTCAACTTAATAATGAGTTGTGTTTCATTCAATTGATCCAAATTCTTGTTCCATTATGAATTAATGGCACAGGAAGCAACCAAAACTTTGTCATAATTGCTTGCTTCCTTCCCACTTCCTCCTCTCCCCCTGGCCCCATCCCTCTTTCTATTCACCTTTCAAAAATGCATTATGTTCTAACTAGTTTGGACTCTACAGGGATAAATGGGAAATATGACACGAACCCCTATATGATGCCAAATAATGTTCTAGGGAAATGAGATAAAGCACAAAGAAGCTACAGAGCAAACTGTCATCTCACGACAGAGAGAGTCAAAGTGAGGCAGAGCCTGGATGAAGGAGAACCTGAGCAACCCAGGCTTCATAGAATCCTTCACTTAAACCAAGCCTTGGAGATGATGGAAAAGAAACAACAAACCAGAGAGAAGGCACCTTGAGCATTTCAGTTTGTCTTGGGCACATCTTAGAAAACCTTTAGGTATAGTAAGTACTTTGGCTTTTCCCTTGCATGTATCAACTATTTGGGATGGGATATGGTGGGGGGGGGCTGTCCTACAGGCCCACCTACATAGGACCTCAGCCGATTGGCCACTTCCCATGCCTTCTCTAACTACTTATCTCAGTTTCTGCCTAAGGGCTCTGGGTAGTGAGTTGAATGGTGATTCCCCCAAAATTTGTCTACTTCCTAATCCCTGAAACTCATGAATGTGAACTTATTTTAAAAAAAGGGTCTTTACAGATGTAATTAAGTAAGGATCCTGAGGTGAGGAGATCATCCTGGAAAACCAGGTGGGTCCTATGCCCAGAACAAGGGTCCTTACAGCAAACATACAGAAGAGAAGACAAGGAAAGAGCCAATGTGACCATGGAGGGAGAATGATGCAGCTCAAGCCAAGGAATGCTAATAGCCAGCAGAAACTGGAAGAAGCCAAGTGTAGCCCCCCACCCACCCCATGACTTTGAAATTCCAGAACTGTGAGAGAAAAACTTGTGTGGTTTTAGCCAGGAAAAAGCAACAAGAAAGTAATATATCCTGATATCTGCTTTTTTATGTTATTCTATTTCTTCCTCTTTCCCTATCATTCCCATTCAGAGCTGTCTTGGATGCGTGTATGCACACACACCCTTAATACTTCAAACCCTGGGTATAGCAAATGTGAACTAGAAAACAGTCGGCATGATAAGTGATTTATAGTGGGGCTTTCTCACAAAATATTTTCTGTCAAATTGGAAAATTTTCCCAAGTTATGAGATATCCAATTTCCTCTTATTATTAAATCATTCCTGTTATCTTATCAGAACTTTATTTTTTGGAGGAAGAGAATATTGGTTGTGTCATTGGGGAGTACCAGATACTCTGGTATTCAGGGCTAAGCTTAGAGTTTGTGATTTAAGGCAAATGATTACACAAGTGGGACCCAATGTTTTTGCTAAGAGTGGTCTGGAACACCCTTGCCTATGCTCAGTTTTGCTTTACTCCTAACCCAAGAGAGAAGCCTGGCAGTGGAGATTACCCAGAGCATTTAGGCAGGGTTCTGGTTTGGAAGAAGACCATCCACCCCAGCCCCCATGTAATTAACTTTTTATTTTTACTGACTTAATGTATACTCACTGATCAAAAGAGGGGGGGAGGACTCTGAAAGTATGAAAGGTATAAAGAAGTGAAAAACCACCCATAACTAGAGTGAACATGTAATTTACCACCCAAAACAGAAAGTGAAGAAAAGGAAGGGCATTGATTATTTCACTAGGACAAGAGTTGAAACCAAGGACCATGCCAGGTGACCTTGATGGTACAGTCTTCCTACTCATAACCTGGGTATCTGTGAACATGTTGTGGATGCTTCTCTAGGTATATGCCATGGAAATGTCAACTGCACAAGAGACAGTTATATTGTACTTTTTCTCATCGAACAGTTTATCTTCAACATCTTTTATATCAATAAGTAGACATCTTTGTTATCTTCAAGGAATTAGGACGTGGGTTGGTCACATGGTTGGATTGCTTTGTTTTGGTTTAGGCTATTAAACAATAACACAATAACCATTCTTCATACTGCAGAACATTTTTGGCTGGTTATTTTCTAGAATAAGTTTCTATAAATGGCATTGGTGGGTCAAAAGTAGACAGAGTTTGTGTCTGGCCCATACTGCTAACAGCTGAGGTGGCCACTTCACAATTACATTTCTAGAAAAGTATGTTCTGGCTTCTGAAGTTCTCTGTCTTTAGAAAACTCATTTTGATCCATACTAAACTCTGAATCACCTAATATCCCATACAATTATTCTTCTTTCTCCCAAGATGATTCATTAACCCTGTCCTCCCATCTAATCTTAACTTGGACAATTTTCTAAATCTCAGTGGACTGTTAAAGAGGAAAGGCCTCATAGCCCACACAGGGCTGGCTCTTTTTCAAGTTCACTGAGGTAACACAGCCTCTATTTGAAAAGTCAAAGTTAGGATTCTGATTTAATCTCATTTTTTAATTCCAAGCCACAAAACGGACAGTGGTTATTTGTGTAGCATCATCAGTCTTAATGTGTTGAAGACAGCTGACCAACGGAGCCCTTTGATTGTTAGAGCTCTTGCAAGGAAACAATGTGACAACATTGGGAAATCCAGGAGGAATTCCAGGTCGGTCTCAGCTCACCTCAGTTTATAAAATGCCCAATAATCCATGACCAACTCCAATGTATGGAGTCCAGATTTCTAAAGGATTTCTATCTGTCCCACTCCTACAATGCATGATGAGAAATAAATACCCAGGCGCCAGGCCTCTGAGAAGCTCAAATATTTGGATCAGCTGTCACAGACCATGCAAGACCAAGCAAAGCCACTGAAAACCTCAGTTAACTGTGATAAAAGAAAAAAACATTCTTTTCTCTGCTTTCTACTTTTTCAAAACAGTCATCCAGGGTCACCTGGTGTAAGGGTAAACCTTCAGCAGCCAATGTTAGAACAGGTGCAAAGAATGTTAGAACTGTAAGATGGTCCCAAGATCTGCAGCTTGGGCCAAGCCTTTCATGCTATCAGCCAGGAGACAGGAGCCCAGAAAGGGGAGGATACCCATCTCAGATCACACTGGATGCTGATGCCCACACAGAAGCTCAGTCTTCACCACACACACACTGCTGGGTTCTGGGACCAGCAATGCTAAGGCATGGCTCCCCACAGATACTGCAGTGAAATGGCAGTAAGAACCCTGGAGGTCTGAGATGGAGCCCATTATCACCTGCTCTAAGCCCCATTGTCCTTATCCATAGGAAAGGGAAGTCACAAAGAGCAATAACAGCCATGATCACTAAAATGGATGCTGTCAAAACTCAGTAAAAGGTTTAAATATGCCTAAAAGACTATGACAGAAAAGCTGCTTTGCTTTAACTCTCTTAGAGATGAATACCACACACGTAATGCTGCTCCTGCTCTGTACAACTCATGGAATCTGAAGAAAACCTTATACATATTTATGCACATTTGTAACCCTTATTCCAAATAGTTGGTTATTCAAGGCTAGATTGACCAGAACTCAGCAATAAAAGTAGATTACACTTGGAAGGCTCCAATTCATGGTAGCAGATGCTAACATACATTTTAAAACAAATCATTGTTTTACTTGAGAACACTGAAATTAAACTCTAAAGTGGTGCTCCTCTACCTGCAAAGGGCCAGTTTTTCTTTCTTTCTTGTTTTTTTTTTTTTTTGCAATACTGGAGTTTGAACTCAGGGCCTTGCACTTGCTAGGTAGAGCAGGCATTCTGACACTTGAGTCAGGACCCCAGCCTTTCATTTAAAAAAAAATTTTCAATCCACTGCAGACTGATATATTTATAATATATATAAAAACAAATTAGTAGAAAACAAAATGAGAGAAACAGAATGACAAAATGTAAGTCTACAATTTTTATGATTATTTTTATGTCAAATTGCTGGAAACATTTCCAAACTTAATTTCCAGTACCGTACTTACTTCTCTTGGACCACACTAGCAGGCAGCCCACATGGCCACCCTCCAAGGCTATGTAGTACAGCAGACAGACATGGTGTGCTCCTGGTTTCAGCTTCTTTCCTCCTCACCACCACTGTCACTACTGACACCTTATACACGAGGACACTGGGCTTGGAAAGCTTGGTTCTTTGCCTAGTATCATACTGCAAAACAGGTGGCAAGGCTGGGATCCAAACCTGAGGTCACCTTGTTTGTGCTCTGAACTCTGTGGTTTACCTTACAGTGCCCAGCAAGAAGCCACATGATTACTTCTTAGTTTACTATTTAATTCAGAGTATACTGTCACATCACCTAGATGGGCTGTAGCCATGGATTTTCCTGTCATCACAGTTTCCTGGTTTTCAGGCATTTTAATTAGCTTTAATTAAGATTATCAAAGGAGATGAAACTCACACCAATTAACTTAGATATCTGGAAATACAGTAGGTAAATATGTGATGACAAGGAAGACTTGAAAATGTCTTTTCTCCACGCTTCTCCCAGTCATCAACGAGAGAGGATGGATGCAAGGTTCCTGATAAAGTTTACCTTGCCCAACAGCAGAGTGCATTTTTTCCATGTCACACTTAATTTTTGACCTTCCTGGAGTGCTAAGCATCTTTTCCCACACCGCAGTTACTTCTTTAAGACAAGGAGTGATTTCTTCATAATCGAGCTTTAGGCGCTTGTTCAGCAAATCATTCTCAGAGGCTGGAAGAGACCATGCAAGCATGTTAGTAGATGCTACAGCTACAGATCTTCTAGTGCCCAGTATGGCTGCCTGATCAACATGACTAAGATGTGGAGCAGATACAGCCAGTTGGGCAGGTCAAATGAAAGGCATCCATTTTCCTTATTTTGGAAATGCTAAGAACCTAGGAGGTCCTCAATCTCCATTTCTTTTTTGTGGGGGTGGATTTCTGGGATTTAAACTCAGGGTCTCAAGCTTGTTAGGCAGATGCTGTATCACTTGAGCCTCTCCATCAGCCCTCTTGATTTTTCTTAATTATGCACCCCTGTTGTGTCCTGTAGGCCTTACTGCTAAGATATATCATACTTCTGTCCAATTCTTTCCATCTTCACAGTTTCCCTAATAACCAAAAACAGATCAAGGGCAGAAGCAGTTCCCACTGCTTGGCAGGCATGTTTTGAGATTAATATATTTTTTTTCGTCTCAAGTAGGAGAGACACTAAGTTCTTTCTTATTTAGAACTAAACCTCAGATAGGCAGGGTCTACCATTAGCACTGTTTCTGCTTCCTGGAGCTAAACAGAATAAACCAACCCTATTTATACAGCATCTACTTACATATATGAAGATAGCTATAGCGTCCTACCAAACCTAGCATAGAGATGCAGTAAGAAGAATTAGACCTAAATTATCAAACTAGAGGAGAAAAATCAATAGTGGAAAACTTTAAGTTGACAACTTCAATTGATACCACAGTTCAATCTCTCACGTCAGGGACAGAGCTGTAGTTGCGAGACTGAGTAACCAATTTGCCCAGGGGTCTACTAGCTATTAGGCAGCCCATGATTCTAGACCCAGTGCTTCCTTCCTCTCAACTTCTATGTTTTTTCACCTATCATCTTTACTATTTTCTCTTTCACTTTGAAGAATATTTTTTTCTAGGTTCTTGTGAATAATTCCTGAAATCTCTAAAATTCATTTTGAAAAAATGTCAACCTCAGATGTTTATGGCTATGAGAAAACACAATAAATGTTGAGCTAACCCTTGGGCAAACGGGGTACAGAACTACCCTTGCTAATCCAGCACTGGGCTCTCAGCACCAGTCAGTTTCTCTGGCAGTGAATTCTGTCCTAAGTACATCTGGCTACTCCAACAGAGCCCAAGACGATGTGAGGAACTTGCTCTGAAGTCTATTGAACTTCACACAGCCAGAAAGAACTGGCTGTACAACTTGGTTGCTGGGGATTCATTCATTCACTTTGCTGTTGCCTAAGCAACATCCTATGTTTCAGAATCCTGAACATACCACTGCCTAAAATCAATGGCCTGCGAAATGCCTTATCAGCCAAGGTGAATGGTGCAAACCTGCAACAAGGCAAGAACTTTAGGTACAGGATCAACCATTTGTAGTATGAAACAGGAGCCCCTACAGCCTGGAGCTCATGAACATGGAGAGACAAGACTGAATGAAATCACGTGGAATGTTGCAAGAGTTGTCTAAACACTTATCACCACGTAACATGGGGGTGTGAGCTAACTTGGACTTTGTGACTAATGGTCAGTTCTGAGGGCTACTCACTGTGCAAGACAGATTGCCCCTGCTCTGTCTCCACTCCTGTTTGGTAACAACTGCTCTCACGGACAAAACTCTCTTGTCAACTGACATCATCCCTTGAAAGCTTAGAAACAGGAAGCTAAAAGGCTCAGCAACTAAATGAGCACCACACTTGTAGAGATTTTAAGAAAACTATACTATTTAAATTTTTTTTTTGCAACAAACATGCATTATCTCACTAAGGAAAAAGCTTTTGTAAATTAAAATACCTGGAACTACAATTCAAAATTTAATGTTGTCATATTGTATTATGGAGATATAATACTTGTAACATTTTAACCTTAGCTAAGCATAAAATGTTGAATTACAGCAGTCCGGTAAGTAGTAACATATCCAAACCGTGGGTGCACTGAATCACACCTTGCTGATCTGCATTAGGCTACTCACATCTTTATCTTAGAATGGGGGCAAATAACCTTGCTGAGAAGTACAGAACACTGCTGGCGTGGAGGAGAGGCAGTGCATTCCAGTCCTAACACCACTACAAATTAGCTGTGTAAATTTGGGAAAACAAAAAAAGTCACTTTAGCTGACAAATGTCAGATAGATTTCTATGATGTGGTTTGGTTCTTTTCTGGATGCAATGCTTCCAGAATAGTAATAAATATTTGATCCATATATTTAAAAGTCAGGAAACAGGCTGATAAAAGAAAGAATCTCCTCATGCATGTTCCTCTAATTTCTTTCTCAAAGAGCATGGATGTCAGCTTAAACCCTTACAAGAACCACTTACAGCTGCAACTTTTTTTCAGAAGCAAATGAAAAAACACCACAAAATGACTATCTCTAGTACATAGTACTGACAGAGTCTTGTCCAATCTTGCTTCTGTCTGCATTTAATGAGAAAGGTCTGACCTCACTCCCAACCTACCCTTACAAAGCTTACTAAGTATTTTTCAGCAATCAGGCTGTTATTGCTGATTCTGTTTCTTAGCAATATGTACTGCATGAAAGAATACAATGGACTGATAATGTCTCCTATATTATAGTTACCAAGTTGACTATGCTTTGACCACAGATAAATATATGCTGAACTGCATAGAGCTAAGGAGAGAAATGAATTCAAACAGTAAAAATAAAAGGCCACAATAACTGAACATTGCTACAAAGGCTGGTGAAATGACTAAACAGAGGAAGATGCTTGGCAAGGACCAGTGAACTTAAGGCAACACCCAGCAAGGTGTTCCAGGTAACCCAGAGAACTCTTACCTGTTCATTCTCATCTGACTAGTTGTCATCTGCACAGCAGCATGTGCTTTGCTTTTGTAACACATTGGTCTCACCTCATCAATTACAGTCACCATCTTGCCTAACATTCCCAAGAAGCCAGCCAGCCTCAGTCCCCTTCCACAGCTATGTCCTCATTTTACATGGCTGGCAACTGTCTGACCAGCAGAAGCATTAAGTATCATGACCCACATGATGGACTTGGCTGCCTTTTTGCTTTCCAACAAAAATCCCAAGCAACATACCCATAAATGTAAATGAGGGCACTTAGAAATTGCATAATTCTCAAATGTTTTTAAACACCTGCTTTTAGAATTACCTTCAAGAACACATGAAAAAATGGTAGAAAAACTGAGTTGGAAAAATTTAGTGCTCACCTGCTCACAGGCAAAGTACAGCAGTGTTTCTTCAGTTTACCATCAATTCACTAATAATGCACACAGAGTAATGTTACCAATTTTAATGACTCACAGAGGATCAGTTCACACCCAGTACCCAGCCAGACACTATGGCTGAGGATAAAGTAGGAAGAGAGCAAGAGGAACAAAACAAAACAAAAACACTTTTCAGAGGCTTAGAGTTTAAACTGCAGCTTTTATCTCAGAAGTTCTAGACACTGCTAATGATGAGCACATAAAATGACTAATATAGCTGGTGAGACTACCTTTAAATCTCCCGAAGTAAATCATGATGACACTACTTTGAAAAGGCAAACAAATACAATAGATATGTATGTTAGATCATCTAGACTGCTGCTTTTTAAGACTGCATGCTATGTCTGATGTGACTCCCTTTATAGTCAAGACCCATTAAAATCATCAGGCCTGGGCTGGCAAAGTGGCTCAAGCGTGAGGCCCTGAAGGGGGGAAAAAAAGATCATCAGGCACTCACTTCGGCAGCACAAATACTAAAATTGGAACAATACAGAGATTAGCATGGCCCCTGAGCAAGGATGATATGCAAATTTGTGAAGTGTTCCATATTTTAAAAAAAAAGGTCATTAGCTTGTTTGATTTCAAGATCACAAACCAACCTTGTAGCTTCTGGTTTTCCTTCTCCATCCTGAGGAGCAGTATTTGTTGTAGAATGGCCTTTTTCCACAGTTCCCGCAGCTCATGTGATGTCCTCTTCTTTTCCTCTGGGACAGGGCCAAACGGCCCATCTTCACACACTGGCTCTAAAGGAGATCGTGGAGGAAGCTCTCCCAGCTCTGAATAATCTGGAAAGGGAAAAAGAACATTCCAGAACAATCACTTATCAACAACACAAAATATTTATTGAAATGTTGCATCAATTCAGCAAATTCTGCTCATTTAGATAAAACATAATGACATCACAAAATTTCAAATTCAAGTTTTAATATTCACTGGAATAAACTGAGCCACAAACATGAAGTAAACAAAACATCAAATAGTAAGCAAATGCTGCAGGAACTGAGGAAATGTTTAAAAATACTTTTAAAGTGTAGTAGTTTTAATCTTCTTCAGAAACTTTTTAGTAACTGCATTGCTGATAATAATAGCAAACAATCATTAATGGCTATGTTTGTATAATCATTTATTTAACAATGATGACCACTCTAAGACATGGGTATTGTAACTATTCATTAAGGGAAATTAAACTGAGCAACAGGGAGTTTAAGTACCTTGCCCAATGTCACACAGCTAGTAAGGAGGACAGCCTGGTTTGGAACCCAAGCAGTCTGGCTTCCATGTACATTCTTACTATGTTATATAGCTAGACATTCTGAAAGAGGATTCAAACATATTTAAAAGACAATAATAATAGTGACCATTAACAGATCCCTGCCAAGTGCTGGGCACTGTGTCAGGGGTTTATATGGACAGTCTCAATTAATCCTGACAACTCCAGAAGGCAGGGAAAAAGAAACTGAAGCTCAGAAAGCCCATGTGAGTTGCCCAAGGTACATGAGAACTCTTAACTTCGTCTGCCTGACTCACAAGTCCATCTACTTCCCACAGATGCCAATTTAACTCAACATGTTTTCCAATGTGATCAACTTTTAAATTTATGTGTATTAGATTCTTGACATTTCATGAATCTGTACCTTTCTCACCTGCAGAAAATATGCTGCTGCACACTGCTGTCGTAACTCACAAATACCTTAAGGATTCCCAGCTCCCTGTGATCCTAGCTAGAAAAACAGCAAAACTGGGTGTCACAGGACACAACAAATTTCTTGAGAACTTCTTTATAAATTGGACCTTTGTAAATAAGATCTTAACACATTCAGTGATAAAACCTTCGCAGGCAACTTGAGCCTTAAAACCAACCAAATCCAAGCTACACTCTCTTCCTGTTGTTAGCCCCAACACAACCCTGTATTACGATAATTTCTGGAAGAGTCATCAGCATTGATAGTTGATATCTTTCCTAAAGTTGGACTGGTTTTCCTTCTATCAAATGCACGAGATCAAATGGAAGTACAAGATGTTAAATTTCTTGAACTAACCTCCCCATTTTATTAATTTCTTAAAGTAACCTCCATGTCTTAACTCCTCTTAATACTACTAGATTAAAAATATAAGCTTTAAGTAAGAATGCTGTATGTAAGTATATAAATGCAGAGCCCTTAATTACACAGCTCTAGATCCTGATTTTTATTGTGATCATATTAAATACATGAACAAATTAAAATTCTATTGTTTTGGGGGTAAGAAGTAACAAGACAGTTTATGCATGTTATAGGAGGAAAGACGCCCCCCCCCCCCTTTTTCAGAAAGATGCTCCTATGTAATGTTTAATGAAAAGGCAGAAATTAAAATTGCTGAAATATTTTCTAGGGTTTGGATGTCATTTCAGTGTTCTTCAAAAATCTATTACTAAGGTTTGGTCCTCAACATGGTAGTATTAAAGGTTTGCAGCACCTTTAAGAGGTGGGGCCTATAATGCCTTTAGGTCATGGAGGATGTACCATCAAAAGAGATTGTGGGATTCCAGTGTCTGTCTGTCTGTCTCTCTCTCTCTCTCATACACATACACACACATACTCCTGTCATTACTATCTAGTGCCCTCACTAGAGGTCCAAACCAATGGGGCAATCCAATCTTGAACTTAAATCTCCCTATCTATGAGCTAAATTATTTTTCTTTATTAAGTTTGTTGTGTCAGATATTTCACTGTAGTAACATAAAGCTCATACAACTATTACCTCGATTTAAAAAATCCTATGAAAGGCAGCACAGTTTAATGATTGATAGGGCAGGATCTGGAGCCAGGCTGCCGAGGTGTTAAGACTATGCATTTACTGATTTTGTGATCTTAGCAAATTACTTAATCTCTTTATGCCTCAACTTCTCAACCTGTTGAGTAACAGTCATTCCCACCCACCTACCCCCGCCCTGCAGTGGTATTAAAGAACTAGAGTTAATATATAAGGTATAAAACAACTACAAAAGGGCTCACCACACAGTAAAAACACAGTAGACATTAGCTCTCATTATGTGCTACCATTTATTCATTAAGGGAACAGAAAAAATATCAGAAAGAAACACATGGAAACTGTATCCATCCCATTATAAACCCCCAGGCTAGCCTGGCTGCCTTGTCACAGAGGACTTGTCATCAGAGCATAGCTCTCAGCACCCAGCAGGAGCTTGATAAATAATTGCTGAACAAAAGAAGACCGTAAACAGGTACTTAGGTTTAAGCATGGGGTAATTCATTTATTTCCTGTTATCTTCTAAATTTTTGTTTGTTTTTTAATTTTTTATTCATTTATCCATACATACATACATTGTTTTCACCATTTCTCCCCCCCTCCCCATCCTCCCCACCACTTCCTCTCCCCCCCACCCCCCTCGCTTCCAAGCAGAACCTGTTCTGCCCTCTTCTCCAATTTTGTTGAAGAGTAGACATAGCAATAGTAAGAAAGACACAGCGTTTTTGCTGGTTGAGGTAAGGATTTTATTTTATTTGTAATAATAAAAATTCCCATAGTTAAAGATAAATAATGCAAATCTATTCTGATTAAAATAAAAGGTGGGAAAATGTTATGCAAGACACTTAGAAAACATAAACACCTCCCAAACATACATATTTAGGATTAATCATTACTGAATATGAATAGTTTAAATTACTCGTTTTATTTAAAAAGAATTTTAGTCAGTATTCATATCTAGTCTTATTCTGCAGTTTGAAGTCTTCCATTTGAACCCTTTTCTTTATTTCTTCTTTTTTCTCTTACTATCTCTGCCAGATGTTATAATTAAAATTTGGCTTAATCTCAGACTGGAATTATTTACACTCCTACTGGTTTGCAAAGAGTAACTCTTGTAATGTCCTGGCTGGGGCAGGGGGTGGATCAGTGCTGAGTTGCCACTGAATGTGCTTTAGGAGAAGGCACAGAGCTCCTGGGCATCCAGTCAGTAGACAGCAAGCCCTGCAGACCGCCAGGTGCAGTTGGCCTAGAAATTCTTTCCCCTTCCTAAGCCCTACTGATAAAACAAGGGTTTACTTCACCTGATCTCCTTCCTCTAATCCCAGCCTGCCTGTTTACCATAGCCTTCTCCTCTAGTTTTGTTTTTGCTTTTGATGGTAACTGGGGATTGAACTCAGGGCTTCATGCTGGCAAGGCAGAAGCGCTACCACTTCAGCCAAACCCCCATCCCTTTTTGTCTTGATTATTACAAGACAGGGTATAGTGTTCATGTCCAGGTGGGTCTGGTCAGAAATCCTCCTAGTTACATTTCCTGTGTAGTGTGTGCTACAATGCCCAGTTTTTTATTGGCTGAGATGGAGGTCTCTTGAACTTTTTGCCTAGCCTGGCCTCAAACTTCAATCCTACTGAGAGCCACCTCTGGAATAGCTAGGATTATAAGCCAGAGTCACACCAGCTACTTCGTGTTTTTAAAATTGCTGTTATGTTACTTTCAAATTAGGTGTAACTCGGGCTAGTGTAGGCTGCTTGGTCCCAGGTCCAGATACTCTCACAATAGGGACCAGAGTATATGGAAGCTTATGAAGCACCTGCTTTTACTTTCATATTCATAGAAATTACATCTGTATGAATACAAGCTTGGTTTGGTGAAGACAACTGTGAAGTTTACAACATAAATGCCTCCTCAATGTTCTGTATGTTTACCTCCCTTTCCTTATTGTTAATCATTCATTACCTTAAGGTTTGCTGAGCAATGAGTCATTGACAAAAATAGCACTGACTTATACTCAAAAGAACCTCATGAAACAGGTGAAATTATCCCCATTTTACAGCCCAAATAACAGGAACAGAGTTTTGTAACTTGGTCAAGTTTACACAGCTAGGAAGAGTCAGAGCCATGATCTGAAAGAAGGAATATTTTCCTCCGAAGTAAAAAATACTTCCCCAAGCTTTTCTACTTTCGACATGCACAAGCATCATGTGAGTATCTTGCTAAATAAAATGCAGATTTGGGTTCAGTACAGCTGAGGGGAGTATGGGGATCTGCATTTCTACATGATGTGATATTGCCACCACCGGTTCACAAAGCTGGTCCTAACTTTGTCATGGCGCCAAGGCCAGAACACAAAGAAGGATTATGAGTACTGATAGCACTAATTTCATCTCTGAATGAACTAAATTAAAGCTGGCCCGCTGTAAAGGTCAGTACCAAAGCTAATAATTTACAATGGGGTATCTCATCTCAGCACTATTGACATTTGGGGTTGGATAATCCTTTGTCAGAGGGAACATTGCAAAATGCTCCCTGGCATCCCCAGGCACTACCCAGTAATGTCAAAGAAAAAAAAAAAAAAAAAGCTTCCAGGTATCACTAAATGTCCCCTCCCCTGGGACTCAGAGTAAAAATCTCATTGCTCTTCTTTTCCAAACCCTGGGAGGTGATAAAAATGTATCCTTTTCACCATGTTTATTTAATGTGGTAAAATGACCAATTTTAGCATTTATAATTAGCAACAAAATTTTTAAATATTATCTTTTGCTTATAATTATGAATGGCCTTGCTGGGTATGGGTGGCTCACGCCTGTAATCCTGGTACTTGGGAGGCTGAGATCTGGAAGATTGTTATTTGAGGCCAGCCCAGAAAACTACTTAATGAGACTCCCAGAGCAAAAATGGCCTAGAGATGTGGCTCAAAAGCAGAGTGCTTGCTTTGCAAAAAAAAATTAAAATAGCCTAGTTACAAAGTAACTTAGTAGTTTATAAATGGGGACAGCTGAAATTTTTGTTTGTTCTTAATTTAGCTAAATGAGTTCAAGT